ATTAACCATCTTAGTCTCCTGCCTCTCCTCCGTGATCCTAGTAAGAGAAAATACATGATTGGGACCGGCTAGCTTGAATGGAGATGCATCTACGTAAACGTACACAACGGTGCACCCTCGTTGACGGCGTCACCCTCTGCAATGCTTGTCTCGAATAACCCATCCATACCGGCCGAGATAGCTATTTCCATCTTCATACTTTCAATCACCATGACCACCTCACCGGCCTTCACTTTATCTCCTGTTTTTTTCAATACCTGCAGGACCTTGCAGGGCATCGGCGCGTTAATTACCGCGTCGCTAGCCTTCCCGCCGCTCGTAGTGGTCGGTCGCTGGCTCTCAAAGTACGACAGCGGTGAGTAACAATGGAATTCCATAGGGCCGCCAAGCACTGGGAAATGGCAAAGCAAGCGCAATGCGCTGCCCGTGTCTTGTTCAATCGCTACAGATAGCGGATCTCCCGTCGCCACGTACGCGAGAACTTTGCTCTTGTTGATCGATGCCTCAATCCGGCCGATATTCCACGGTACGGACTCGGACCACCCAACCATGTCGATAACTTTGCTCTGCGCCTTGTGTACATATACTGCACATGTCAAGGACTTTTCCTCTAATGCGCCGCTGCGGAGAGCTACGCTCAGCATGTTGTAGGCACGGGTGGCGTCTAGAAGGCCAGATTCGTCGCTGGTTGTGCCGTCCGTCTTTGCCTCTGGCTTCGGACCTAATTCAGGCACTGGCGCGATCTGCACAACCGCCTTACTCGTCTCTCCGCCATCAAATCCCCATATGCAGATCTGAGAGTTCATGCCCGGGCCCTGCTTCGCATCGTAGACGGCAACAATATCGCATAACTGGTTCACCCTGTCGAACCTCTGGTTTCGGAACCCGCGACGAACGCTTCCGAAAATAGGGCGGGCTCCCCCGACAGCCACCTCCTTTCGCTCCCGGGAATTCCGTAAAAATAAGCTCGGGATTATGCTTAGGAGATTCAGCGGTAATCCTAGGCCGGAAGAATATGGATTTCGCAGGAGATCGTCGAGATTCGACTGGATAAACGATGTCGTGTAATCGGGACGGTGGAAAGCTTGGTGCCGGAGGCACGCCTGTAGGAAGAGTTGGTTGGTGGTGACACCTAGACAGGCTGTGTCCGCGAGAACTCTCGCCATCTGCTCGATTGCTGTGGCGCGTGTTGGCGCCCATACGACAATCTTTGCGATCATGGAGTCGAAATAGATTGAGACTTTGGCGCCGCTGGAAATGGCCGTTTCGTAGCGTATACGTTGTGAGCCGACTAGTGGCAGCGGTGGCGCCCATAAGCGAACCAGGCCGTGCTGGGGAGCAAAGTTGCGGGCTGGGTCCTCGGCGCACAGCCGGCATTCGATAGCGTGGCCGTTCTGCGGGACCGAGACGAGTTGCTGGAGGCTGGCTAGGTTGCCGCCAGATGCGACGTAAAGCTGCAGCGCCACGATATCAAGGCCGGTGCACTCCTCAGTAATAGGATGTTCAACCTGGAGTCGCGCGTTTACTTCGAGGAAATAGAACTGGCCTGTTGCAATATCAAGAATGAACTCAACTGTCCCAGCACCCTCGTACCGCAGCAATCTACCGATGCGCGTTGCAACGGCACATATGGCCTCCCGCTGACTGCGGTTAAGCCAAGGACACGGACTCTCCTCGATCACCTTCTGGTGCCGTCGCTGAACGGAACAATCACGTTCCCACAACGATATGACATTGCCGTGCTGATCTCCCAAAATCTGTACTTCGATGTGCTTGCCCGCTTCAATGTATTTTTCTAGAATGCAAACGTTCAACCCAAACGACCGCTGGGCTTCAGATTGGGCGCGCTCAAACTCAGCCTTGAGTGCAGATCGATCGTGCACGATGCGCAGCCCACGGCCACCGCCGCCGGCCGATGCCTTGATGATGACGGGGAAGCCGATACGCTCGGATTCTTTCTCCAAGTCACTGAGTTGTATCCCCTGCGATGACGACCCGATATACCCTGGAATCAAGGGCACACTTGGCTCGTGCTCGCTGAGGTATTGTTTAGCTTCGCGCTTATCGCCGAGGGTGGTGATGGCAGACGAATTCGGGCCGATGAAGATAATGCCGGCTTTGCGCACCTCATCGGCGAACTGGGCGTTTTCGCTTAGGTAGCCGTAGCCAGGATGGATTGCATCGGCTCCCGTCTGGAGAGCAACCTGGATGAGGAGTTTGATATTCAAGAACGGATTGCCACCGGACTGGCCTACAGAGCCTAGGTTGATGGCATCGTCTGCGTCATGCACGTGTCTTGACGTTGCATCTCTGTTGGGGGTAAAGAGGGTATTGGTTAGCGAGTGGGATGGAGATGGTTAATACGTGCGAGGTGAAAAGTCTGTGGTTTCTTACTCTTCAACGTATATAGCAATACTTTTGACCTGTAGCTTACGGCAGGTGGAAATAACGCGACAGGCGATTTCTCCCCGGTTGGCGATCAAGACGCGGTTAATTCGTCTCGTCCCATTTTCCTGGAGAGGCATCTGGGCCACCCATAACGGATCTTGTTCGGACATGACAGCCATGTTGCTCTCGAGAAAACTAGCCCAAGGATAAAAGACGCTTTCAAACTGTAGAGGAATATCCTATGAACAAGGCGTCGATTAGGAATAATAAAAAAAATGTCATGTGTCCGCGGGTTAGCTAATCTATTTCATTGAAAACGCGTCAAGCACTAAGACCCTTCAATAATAATGATCAACTTCATGTTTGGCATCTTTGCCTGAGTAATAACCCCAAATCCAGTCAAGGAATGGATCTTGATGTACGGTTGACAGCGGCCTCGGCAAGCCGGGTCGGCTGTTAAATGCCGTGCCCGTGGATACAGTAGTCCGGGCCCACTGAGATCCACCAGTGATTAATTCTCAAGTCCAGCTAAGTTTAGCAGGGTTTCTCAGGGCAAGCCGGCAGGCCGGCAAGGACTAGTTGGACTTGAGAAATGGTGATTGTGTGGCAAAATACATGTAGGCATCGAGAAGCAAGCCGGAGGCCACAAGAAAACGTAGATCCATTAAGAAGAGCAACGATTCAGGCAACACACAACCTCCCACACCTTAGGAACAGACATAGAGACACCACCGACGGTCTGATACGATCTGTCCCACTATCGATAGTAACCCATCATGGCGAACCCAAAATTGAAATGGAGCTTGTTTCAGCACCAAAACGACATCGATATTTACCGCTCGGGCACGAATCTCAAGATTTTGCTCCGTCGACCCCGGAACGGGAATGCACTCACGACCGACATGGTAACCCAAATTACTGATTGCTTCCGCTCCGTGGCCCAAGACCACACCATCACGCGTATCGTCATCGCAGCCGAGGGCCGTTTCTTCTGTACCGGGATGGATTTGAGCAAGTCAAGTACAGCCGTCAGTAAAGGAGGCGACGCTGCATCCAACGAATACGAAAAGTTTGTCAATCTATTCCAGGCTATCCAGGACGCACCTCAGGTGACCATCGCTTGCATCAACGGCCCCTGCTACGCTGGAGGCGTAGGGCTTGCCTTCTCATGCGACGTGCGCCTCGCGATCGCCTCGGCCACCGCCAGCCTCAGCGAAGTGAAACTGGGACTGTGTCCGGCCATCATATCCAAGTATCTAGCTCGAGAGTGGGGGTTGGCCTTTACGCGCGAGGCTATACTCTCAGGGCGGGTGATATCTGTGGCCGAGCTTCGAAACATTGGGGCGGTACACGGCTTAGCTGCGGACATGGCTGGGCTGGATGAACTTCTCGAGTCGTACCTTATCAATTTACGCTCTTGCGCACCACGCGCGTCGGCCATGTGTAAGGATGTAATGCGAGCGGCTGCTGGTGTTCGGGGTCATGAAGAGCAGGACAAGGTCATTCGCCAAGTGTTTGAAACCATGATGGCGCCAGACTCGGAATCAGTCATTGGAGTGCGCAACTTCCAGTCAGGAAAGAAACGGACAGATTGGGATGCGTTGGCACATCTGCAAGGGGCAGCTAAACTGTAACGGGGTCTACATGTGCACAGGGGATTCGGAATGACAATGTCTCCTGTCGGGTAGATACGAGCCGGGGCACAATGGGACAGTTTTTGATCAGATAGGCATATGTTCTCTATACGAACGAAATAGGGCGACTTGAAGTTCAACTGTCAATAAGATAAATCTCCTACGAGATTGGGGAGCCTGCAACCAATAGATCAGACAATCTAAACTCCTCGGACTCTACATGTGGGAAAGTCTAGCCACGTCGAGCACTAATGTAGGAGCAATGAAACACATGAATCCAGAGACTGGCGAGGGGAGGATGAGGATTGGATTGATGAATATCGAGTGCCGATATTGGTTGGTCGGGTGGTTCAGGAACACTACCAAGTACCAAGGAAATCCTCTTCCATGAGCATTAACTCCTCCTTCTCATATCAATCTAGCCAAAGGTCTTGTCTGGCCGTAATTTGTCTTCGGGCAGAGCGCGGCTTCGATGCCGAGTTAAGCCGTGCCTCTATTTCTGCCAAGCCACCACCAAACTTGCTCGCCCAGAAGCGGACGGCCCGCTCTCTGGCTATCCGTTCAGCTCATCCATGCATCCGGCCTCGTGCCTCCCCGCAAAATGTAAAACTACACGAAAAAGACGATGTCGATGCCTATGCATGAAGCAATAATACACGGACGGAAACAAGGTTAGCGGCGATGAGAAGGTAGCCGCCGGTTCTGTGGCTGTGGCTGTGGTAAAAGTGAAGCCAAATGTTCTCCGCTCGTGTCAATTAATTCTAGCTTCTTTTTATTTTCTTCAGGCTTTCACCTCCAAACCCCGTCTTACATTGCTCCTGGCCCCCACGTTACTTTGCATCCGCATTTACTTCCACGCTGGGAATTCCTGTGCTTACTTACCTGTTGAGGTGAGGGTGTTCAATCCAATCCATCTGCGCTTCTCCTCCAATTTTCGCGATACCTTCCCCCTATCCCTAGAAACCGACCTTTTTGAGCATGGCCGCTTGCCTTTCCTACCCCGTCGGCGTGGCCAAACTGAGCCTACGGCAGCCCATCTTCGACGACAACCGCAAAGCTTGGGGACAGGTCCTGGAACGGTTCAACAATGCCCTCGAACAGGTCTGTTCCGAGGGCACCTCGGCATCGCAGCAGCGACACCAGTCTCGAGGCCAGCTTCTCGGTATGGCTTCCTCTCCCTCTCCCACACAATAGGCGTTTTCCCATTCTCGCCTCCTTTACGCTCACCAATCGGCGTTGTCTAACTTTCTGCATTAGCCAGGGACCGCGTAGCGTTGCTGCTCGACCACGATTCCCCTTTCATGGAGCTCGCTCAGTTCGCTGGCTTTGGGCTCGACTCGTCTCCCTGTGCTAGTCTTGTAGCTGGTATTGGGAAAGTTAGGTATGTGCAGTCAAGGCTTCTCGAAAACCGGAATGCCAATTTGATCCCGACTTCTCTTATGTCGAGGCCGGGAGACAACGGGGACTTGACCAACTTGTATTGACCAAATGCCAACGACGGAAGTGGCGTGGCCTGTATGATTATATCTCACATTCCGTCCATTAAAGGAGGGGCTTGGAACGAGTATACCAGTAAGTCAAGATTCTTTCTCGACGCATACGCACTAAGCCGTTCCCCTCGGTCTCTTTCTGTTCCTCCCGCGCCTTCGCCGATAATCGTATAATGCGTGCGATGCTAATTTCTAATCTCACTACAACCAGTCTTGAAGCACAATCGCGTGACGGAGATTGCAACGGAAAATGGGCTGCCGATCATTGGTCTTGTACAAGCAGTGAGTGTTGCCGTAATGCATCCTAGAACACTTGCTGTCTTTGCCTTATCGCTCGAAAAGCCTCTTTGGCTCATTCGAAGCTATTCATGAGCTTTAAACTTTTTTCTAGGGGCTCTCAGCTTCTCACCTCCCCTCGATTCAATAGGCAGGCGCTTATCTCCCGCAACAATTCCGCGTCTTCCATCGCGCAGGCCAAATGTTCCGAGACCTTGCGCGTCGAAGCGCTGCCGGCCAGTTCTCGTGCAGCGTCGTCTTCGGCTCTTCGACCGCTGGAGGGGCGTACCTCCCCGGAATATCCGACTACACTATCTTGGTGCAAAATCAAGCACAGGTCTTTCTTGGGGGTCCTCCCCTGGTAAAGATGGCCACGGGCGAGGTTATAGATGCCGAGACTCTCGGAGGGGCCAAGATGCATTCCACCGTTACGGGGTTGGCGGACCAGATCGCGGTAGATGAGTATGGTTTTATGCATTGCTCCTTTTCGGCATTCGTCTACCTTCTTCTCTGTGTGAAGCAACCCCCATCTGACTATAGGCGTTCTCTTGCAGGTTTGACGCAATCCGCAAAGCCCGCGAATGGGTCAAATCCATTCAAGTCCCCTTCCAGCTGGCGCGGCGGCCCATGGGAGAGCCCCTAGCCCCACGCTATCCTATGGACGACTTGCTATCGCTGGTTAACCCGGATATCCGTAAGCCCTTTGATATGACCGAGGTTGTGCTGAGGCTAGTGGACGACTCGCGGATTGCCCTTTTCAAACCGGCATATGGCAGGAATTTACTGACGACTTGGGCCGAGATCCACGGTATGTTTCTCACATGAGCATCCCACAATATATTTCAATTCATTTGTCGGCGATGTCAGCGGAATAAGACTTCCTTGAAGACTTGGAACCAGTCTTTGACCGCGAAAAACTGACGTAATGTAAAACCGCTCACCAGGCCACCCAATTGGCATCATTGGCAATCAAACGCCGGTGATCCGCGCCGACGAGGCATGCAAAGGTGCCCAGTTCATCAGATTGTGCAATCAGAGGTGCTATCGACTCCCTCTCTATACCATGATGTGCTCTCTTGTCAAGCGCTGACCAGACGAACTAGATGTATCCCTATAATCTACCTTCACAACGTGACCGGATTCATGGTTGGCTCTGATGCGGAACGGCAAGGCATTATTAAGAAAGGGGCTCAGTTCGTTGCCGCCGTCAGCTGCTCAAAGGTCCCTCAGATATCCGTCATTCTTGGGTCTTCTTACGGAGCCGGCAACTATGCCATGTGCGGCCGTGCATATCAGCCCCGCTTCCTATTCACATGGCCCTCGAGCCGCTGCAGCGTCATGGGGCCCGACCAGCTTGCGGGTGTCATGGAAATCGTGCAGTCTGGAAGCAGAGCCAGGCAGAATAATGCCAATAAGAGCGACGCTGCTGCTGCCGTGCCTAAAGAGCCATCAAACAGCCGCGAGAAGCAGAGAGAGATGGTTGAACGGGAAAGCGAGTCATATTACACGAGTGCCAACTTGCTAGACGATGGCATCATAGACCCACGGGACACACGCGACATCCTAGGAATGTGTCTAGATGTGGTGACTATTTCGCCGGTAAAAGGTGCCGAAAGCCACCAGGGCCTGGCACGTCTCTAGTTCTGGAGGAGAGGGCTCGGGAGGTACTGGTCTACAAGGGCTCCTTTTTCTGGATGTACAAATCCGCCGCATTTACAACTCCTAGCTTAGAACTAGATTGATCGAATAGGTGTCAGCACGACGGACGCCGCTCTTCTTTAAATGCTAAACACTATCAGGACGGACGCCGGAATCTTGGGCTAAAGCCTGCTGGGGAAAAAATAGGGTTTTCCCTGTCTGGAAATCCATGTCACCGCCCTGGCCTTTACAACTCGCGATATCTCTTAGATGGGTTTTATTACTTCGTAGTGACCGCACAATTAGAAGCCTAAGGTTGACCTGGCGCGCAACAATAAACTTAAATTCGAACTCTACAATTTCCCTAAGGGATTCTGAAATAAATACATAAACAGCTGCAAGCATAGAAATTGACTAGTGACAACAACTGCAGCCACTGCATTTAATTAACGGCCACCCCATTAAGAGCTCTCTCCTTATCACATGCCTTGTTCCCAACAAGAATGACCTCCTCTGGCTGTTTAGCTAGAAGCTCCTCAAGAGTTTTGTGTGTATCGATAAGGTGTGTGCTGCCGATAGGCGTGTGGTAAGGGGTGGTGTGAGAGCCGTCTGAAACGCGAGTAACGTAATTCTTCGGCTGGTCATCGACGACGAGGCGTAGCAGGTCGGGTCGCGAGTAGTGACCAACACAGTCGGTCAAGTTCTTGGCAACATCGATCTTATCAAGGTCAATGTCGCAGTAGATGAGGCCATCGTACGTTGGATCAGTAGGTTCTGTAAGCTGTCTGCCATCTGGCCCGAAGACCGCAGCGGCGCCGCAACCGCTGCTGAGCAAAAAGCTGTCCTTCTTGGCGCCGGCTTGGCCTTCACTGTTGAGGCGGGCACCCTCGGCGGAGAGGGGCTGGTTGGTGCAGAGGACATATACGGCACCCTCTATAGCGTACAAGCGGCTGGCAGTGACCTCGTTGGCCTCGGAAAAGACCGAATAGGGTTCAGGGGCATGGTTGCCAGGATACTCTCCGCTGGATGGCCAGGCGGCGATATGGACTTGCTCGCCCTGCGCGTAGGTGTGATACTTCAGTAAGGGCTGAAGATGCTCTATGCGTGCCAGAAAATCATGTTAACTTCTAGTTTGCAGGCACGGGGCACGGAAAAGCGGGGTCCACGACAGAAACTCACCCCAGCAGTTTAGCATGCCGATCCTTCCCAGGGGCGTTTCCACCACCGTCTTGAGAGAATCGCCAGTCGAGTCGCCAAAGATTGTCCGCTCAACGTGGGTGGGCTTGGTTTTACGTCGATGGAGAAGAACGTTTCCGTCTGGGCCAATGAACATCTGGGCGAGATACAAACTGTGGCCAGCACGCTCACTAAAGCCAAACGAGACGTAAATCTTATTCTCGGCTGCAGCCTGCCGGATCTGGAGCATCTCATCGCCGTATGCCGAGATGCTGTTGGCCATGTATTTCTGGACTAGGGGGAGGTTTTCCGCATAGTTGCCAGACCAGAGAAAGTTGGGATAGCCTGGGACCCAGACCTCGGAGAATGCGATAAGGGAGGCGCCATTCTGCTTGGCTTCACGAATGAGGCGGATCGACTTTTCGATGGCTGCCACCTTGTCGAACCAGCAAGGCTCGCTCTGGCACACGGCAGCTTTCCACTGGCGGATAGACATTCTGACTTGGTAAACAGGGTGACAAGAGACAATAGCTCCTAGTGAATAATGAATTGGGAGTGTTGAAGGTGGTATGGACAGCATGACCTCTATCCATTTAGTCGTGCGAAGCCTCAAGATTTTATAGACGAGCCAACGGCCGTATCTGTCTGGGGGAGTTGTCACACAGGGGTACATAGTCAAAGCTGGATAGGCATTATCCGGCCCTGGAGTACTCTTTCTAAGTCTCACAGGTTCATTTAGGGATTGTCTCCGCATATGATGGACGGTGGCCGGGAACGGGTGGCCCCAGAATCGCTGGCACCCTGGACCCCAGATCTTGGTACCCTGGACGCCGCTAGTGTAGGTGGTGCGATAAGAAAGGAAGATGCGAGGAGCCTCCCCCACAGTGACAAAGTCCGGATAGACATTACCCGGGCTAGACCTAGATAGCTTATCCGTCAGTTACAAAACAATGAAGCCAGAGAAAAGCTATGCGCTATGAAGCATTCAAACATTCTCCGAAAAAAGAAAGCGCCTTAGAGGATAGGAGGTTCTGATACCTAGCAGGCATGCCCAAATCTCCAGCATCACCAATCACATAGTCTAAAAGGTTGCCTGATTAGAAAAACGTTGGAACTGTGAATGGGAGAAATACCTAGGAAAGCCGCTCTTTAAGGGTGGGGACTGCGTTGCCCATTATTCCCACGTTCTCTACTTCGTAGGCAAGTAAGCAATTATTTGGATTAGACTGGCAGAATGAAGATTTAAATGCTCTAAAATAAACTGGAATGATCCTCTGCAGCACTCTCTACGCTGTTTTCGGTGCCCGAGCCAGGGCGTTGCTGCTCCATCTAGTGCCTGAAAGACATGGATCAATTGGTGCTTCGAGTTATGCGAGTTATGTCTCAGTGGATCCAAGGTTCTTTTCCAGTTTACTCATCACAACCCGCCCGCCAGTGGGGTACAATAAATCACCGACCACCTCACCTTTTAGTATTAGAAACAAATATTTAAATATCTCAACAACTCTATATCAAAAATACTTAAAATTTTATATTTAACTAAATAAAATATTATATTAATAAATTATAATATTTATAAATACTATTTTAATTTATAAAAAATATAATTAATTATATATTTAAAATTAAAATATTTAAAATTTAACTAATTTTAATATTAGTTTTAATTTTAAAAAAAAATATTTTAATAAAGAAATAATATATCTACTATATATTATAAATATTATTTTATATAATTAAATTTTCTTAAAACTAATAAAGTTTATTAAAATAAAAGTAATATTATTAAATAAAGTAAACTTTAAGGATTATAATAATATATATTTTATTTTAATAAACTTTATTAGTTTTAAGAAAATTTAATTATATTAAATTAAAATAGTATTTATAAATATTATAATTTATTAATAGTATATAATAAAAATATTTTTATTATATACTATTAATAAATTAATATATATTAAATAATATAAAATAAATAATAATATTTTAATTTATAAAAAATATAATTAATTATATATTTAAAATTAAAATATTATTATTTATTTTATATTATTTAAATATTATATAATATTTAAATAATATATATTTTATTTTAATATAAAGTAATAATAAATTTAATTATATAAAATAAATAATAATATTTTAATTTAATATAATTAAATTTTCTTAAAACTAATAAAGTTTATTAAAATAAAAGTAATATTATTAAATAAAGTAAACTTTAAGGATTATAATAATATATATATTTATATAGTTTTAATTTAATATTATTTAGAATTTGAGGATTGAAATAGTAGTCTATAGAAGAGGGGTGGTCGGTGATTTATTGTACCCCACTGGCTTATTAATCGCAACTTAAAGCTTGTTTATTGAGGAGAGTACAAAAGTCGCCGCCCTCCACCCGCATAAACACGGAGACTTTTTTATCGTCGGTTTCTCTAATCCACTTGTTTATCAGGAGACGATTTCGTTACGTATTTTCTTACCTAAAGCAACTGCTACTTGAAACATTATGAATTGCCGAGGTAGTCAGAATAGGAGGCGTCACAGCGCGTGCGATTCTTGCAGTGCGTTTCTGTCCGTGGAATACCACATGACAATCGTTCCTTCACATACTAACGCAGTGGCCGGGCCACAGGAAGTCGAAAGATAAAGTGTTCCCGGCAAACTCCGATATGTGCCCGTTGCTGTCGCCTTGGCCTGAGATGCGAATACTCCATGACGAAGACTATGGGTCGCCCTCGCCGCACCGTTCCGCCCGAAGCCAATGTAGGCCCCGGTCTTCCCGACTCTTTGGATCAGCGGCCGAACATCCGTGCCGAGATGCCATTCACCGCTACCCCTGCCTCACCTACCAGTCCTAATATCGATGAAGCCGCCGTCGACTTGGGTATTGCAGACTTTTCTTGGCTTACTTCCCAGCCGCCAAACGGCTTGCCGGACCGTCAGCTCTTCGAGCCAGAACAACATTACATCCCTTGTTTGATGCACAACGAACCAGTTGATGGTGACTCAATCCACGACAGGTCAGGTCTTACGCCGGTGTCATCTCAGAACAGTTGCAGATGTGCCAAGGAAGTATCTCAGTACTTCGAGGCAATGGACGACCGGGGTTGGACTATTGAACAAATCAACCTACTGCGACAATCCTTAGACCTGGCAAATAGAGTATTGAATTGCAACGTTTGCTTCAACATACTGGACGTTGAATCCTCAATATCTAAGAATATTCTGCTACTGGGGGCCCTCATGTCCAATATCGCCCTGTCATACGCCCAGTTCATTTCTCTTCACAAAGAACGAATCTCGCGGGCCGGTGAGGATGACGGAAGAGTCAAGGTTTTTTTCGGCCAACATGGCGATCCAGGGTCCCTAGTGGACGTAAATCTGAGTCATGATTGTTACTGGTGGCTACTCAAGACCGCGCTATCAAGCGACTTGGGCCGACTGTTGGAGCTGTGCACCGCTTTTGAGGCAAGGCAACTTAAAGCACACGAGCTAGGGCATGAGCAATGCGCGGCCAACACGCCGTGCATGGCCGGTAGTTCCGGGTTGACGACAGCTATATCCAAATATACCAAGGCGTGCCCTCGAAACGTCGACCCAAAGAAGGCCTTTTCTTGTTTCTCGACAGTCAATCAGGTTTTCGCCGCGATTCGGGAGACTCAGAATATGGTCGAATCAGCTTAAAGGGTGCCATTGAATACGCCGAAACTAGAAGTTGTTGTATTGAAAGTACGCTAAAGTACTCGTACATGAAGCTATCCTCAGTAGCGTATATTGTTTTCTATTTTACTCATTTGCAACAGAATGATTGGTCTATGGGATGGTGAATGGAGTTAGAAATCCTGGACTCAACTTGTTATCTGCGAAACTGGAAACAACATCACTTGGACATAGAATCGAGCTCCGAGTTTCTGTCCTAAGTCGGCCCGAGACCAAGGAATGAAAGCCTAAACGTGAACAGCTGGGATTAGTTTATGCCGTAGGAACTGAACCGGAGAACCTGACGGCCGAATCGGTAGAATATCCATGGTAAAAAGGCGAAAGCTACTGCTAGGAATCCCAGCAGACTCGAACCCCAAGGGTACGTGAGCTTCCTATACACTATTGAAATCGGTGTTGAGCTTGAAAAGTTCATCAAATATGGGGGGCCAACTTACTGGCAACCGTGAATAACGGAAAAGAGCCACCGATGGTATAACGCAGCAGGCCGTTGGCCGCAAGTGCAGAAGCTCCGTATTTGGCTCCGTAGACATTGGTAAGATAAAGCGTGGTCGACACCTAGACCATGGTCTTGTAAGCAGGGGCAGAAAAAGACCAAGTTTTGAGTCACGTACGAATATCAAAATATTGGAGAAGCCGAAAAGCCCGGTTGCCACGATGCTACTACTCCAGTGAATATCGGGTTGAGCCGTCCAAGCAAACCAGAACAACGAGGCGGCCATAAGGGGCCCTCCAATCATTGCTCCCCACAACATCCGCTCCGGTGGGGACGGATCGCCACTAGTCCGTCTGATGTGTAGCTTGAGGGTGTGGGCGTCAAGAACCACCAGGGTAAGGCCGCCAAGAGCGCACCCTACCGCAATTCCGATGAACACCAACCCGCATTGCCCAGGTGTGAAGCCGTAGGTCGTGTTGTAAACTAGTGGTATTGAAGCCAAAAAAGAAAAGAGAATGGAGAAGTTCAAGGATGAGTAGAGGGAGAAGAGAAGGACAATGGGTTCTTTAATCAGCATAAGCAGTGGTCGAGCTAGTGTGACGGTTGCTAAGAATCGCAGTCCAGCAATGCCGCGAGGGACAGGCGAGGGCGGCACAGGCAAACCCAGCTTCTTGGCCTGCCGGCGGATGATTGGTATGGCATAGGTCTCCTGGACTCCAAGCGCAAAAATCCAAAGTGCAGCCCCTAGGAACAATGTTGTCCACTGTGACCATGGCCAGTCCTTGTATTCAGCGATCCAACCACCTACTAGTGACCCAACAGCGGGTCCCAAGAACGCGGTGGTCATCAACAATACCACTCCATGGTTAGCGTTGATTCCGGTCCAGATATCCATAATAGTTCCTGCGCCCACGGCCAAAGGCGAGGAGATGGCGATGCCAGCTAGTAGCCGACACACGGCTAAGGCGTCGATATCCTTGGCGAAACCAGATGCCATAATAAAGAGCAAGGCAATGGGTGTTATAAAGATGTAGATGAATCGACGGCCAAAGGTTTCGCTCAGAGGTGCGGAGATCGTGGGACCAAATCCCAGGCCATATACGTAGAGAGTGAATGGAAGTATGGACAGTGTCTCACTTGTGTGCATTTGCCCCTGGACATTCTTGTGGGAAGGTGTATAGATAGCAAGTGTGAAAGAGCTGTTTAGCCATAGACGGGGTTAGCGTGATGTTCCTCATCTCGAAGCGATACGGGATAGGACTAACATCAGCAAACAGAGCAACGAAGGAGCCGCTGTGTTGTAGACTTTCTTCGGTGTGCTCCAGTTTTGCGCATTTGCCGGGTTGTCTGCCCAGTCGGGAAGACCCATCTCTTCCTGGGAATCTTGGCTGGTGACTGTCATACCAGGCGTGCTATTTCTCGCACCACAGAGTTCAGAGAATTTTTTGCCGTCCAAAGTGCTGAGCGGCGAGCAAGAGACCCTTGACGTCGCTCATGAATGGCTTAAATCGGGGTTTTATAACCTAGACCTAAGACACACGCACCGTCCTGCGAGTATGTGCCTCGGGTTAAGGCTCCGCTCTCCACTCATGGAGGTGACCCACGCGCGGTCGGGAGAGCAAATGAAAAGTCTCCGCCCTCACACTATGCTGGGACAACCTAGTCAGTTTACAAGGAGCCGACGTTTCCGAAGGGAAGACTAGGCTTATATATATGTAGTTATATTATATTACTTTCTTTTCTTTCTTTTCTTTTGGTTAGGTCCGATAATAGATGTTGATGGAAGGAAGCTCGACTCTATCCCTAGTCAGACTTCTCATCTAGACCAAAAAAACAAAGTTTCCGTGGCTATGACAAATGTCTCCGCAACTATTCTCCAAGCCTCCTCAAATGTACATTATTGGGAAGATGCTGCGGAGTAAATCGGGGCTAAAAAAACTTGATAGAGGTACAATCGAAGACACACTAAGCTGATTTTGCCATGTGTTTGGAGATATGCCTTTTGATCTGTAATGGTAAGACTATGACCTCCGCTGGCGTATGTGACAAACACGAATTTGGAGTTCACGGCTCTTGCTGCATCCTTTCTCTCTCTCTCTCTCTCTTTTTTTTTTCCATCCATACACTGTCCAAGAGTCCCGAGTTAGAAGTCTTTTCATGTAATCACCGTCGGACAACGCCTAACCTGGTTCGTCCTGTGATATAGATGAACTGGTTGCTTTTAATCATCCATAGAAAAAAGCCAAATCTGGTCCGATGGTTGTGATTCTGTAGCACTGATCAAGTTATCGAATGACCATGCTTGTTGTGGAGTAGTTGGAACGCAGGAATCCAGTTGACCCAAGCTGTCAAACTCGCTGGTAATGTTGTTGAAACTGGCTACGGTAAGATCCACATCGAAGAGCCAGTCTATCTCGTTGAAGCTTGGTAGACTACTTGACCCGGCCGGAGTTCCCTGGATATCCGGATCCGAGCCCATCTCAGGGAATGGTTGTGCTTCTGCTTCTTCGTGTTGTTGTTGTTCGAGTAGCCAGGAGGCGGGCGCGGTCCAGTCACCGTACTGCGGCACTAGGGCTGGCACTGTGATCTCTGGCTGCTGTTGCTGCTCCACATTGTCCCAGAATCTCTGCTGTCGAGCTTCCCCCATGTCCCTGGAGTCCGTCTGGGCAAGATTAGGGTCTTCAAGTACTCCACTCTGCTTCAGGTCTGTCGGCACGGCGTGAGGGATTAGCCACTCGTTAGCTAGAAGGCGGAAAGTGCGTAAGGCTCGTTCGCTCCAGGACCAAGCGAGCCCCATGGTGCTCAACGCGACGACACAAAGCCGAAGATGCCGCAGAGCATGCCGTCTCAGGTGCTCCTTGGGGGAAGCAGCGTCTATTAAGTGGATAACTGCAGCGTTGAAGGTACTAATAACCGTCACCACAGGCACTAAGCGCTACAATTAGAGCTATTAGTCGATCACCACTCTCAACTTGAAGAAGGGATCAAATAGTAGGCGGGTACTTGCTAGGGTATAATGGTGGTGATATATCCGAAGTAGCCTCGCGATCTCGGTAGCGGAATGCCGGCATGCTTTTAAATGAACATCGCCGTCAGCCGTGAACTGCTTAGATCGATAGCGAATAAGCGGTCGATGCAACTGGATTTGCATGACGTGGAATTGAATGCTGGAAGGGTTTAAGCTCCAAACGCGGGTTCACACGAGATATAAGGACTACTTACTGTAGCTGGTATACATGCGGAAGAGACGGGACACGCGGAGAGGCGGCCAGACGTAGATGGCTAGGAAGGTTTGTATAAAATGCATTGGAAGCCACGTCAGCGCGAGCAACCAGGTTTTCGGCCTCAGCCTTGGATATCTTGTTGTTCGGGGCATAGCTATTTCAATCGAGGTAAGCATTGGAGGAAAGTAAACTTGCCGAACGATGAAACATACAGCTGCTCGAGAGGCTCGGATATCATCATCAGATGATCACAAGATGCAATCATGGAAGAAACTGTTCTGGAATGTGCCCCTAGCAGAGTCTGGTCTTTTTGCGTCCAGGGAAACCATGGCTCAAATTCGACGTCAGGTTGTAGATCGGGTTTTGGGCAAGCCTATATGAGGCCGTCAGTCAGAACTTTGGGGACTCGGTTGAGGTGATTGGAGTTTGGCAAGTTTGACGGCTTACGATATCGCACGCTCGCGTGGTTCCCGGTCGGCCAAGGCCAAGTGAATAAAGCCTATCGTACGGAGTATGACGAGTCAGCAACGAATCAAAGAGTGATGGCAAACTAAGCGCCCTACTTATCCAGCTTATAGCATCCCCACCAGGTGACATTCCTGATTTCTGCCTCTTTCTTGGTGATATGGCCGGAAGCGACCCATTTCGCGCAGTTGAGATTTAGTCCCAGATTGTATGCCATCCTAGTCGCCATTCCTAATTGTTTTAGGATCAGCCGATGCGAACCACTTGACCTTGAATACAAGTTTGGGTGCTTTTTCTTACCCATGTATAGCCAGCCCAGAGATTCTTTGTTCTCCGACATCCATCTCAATGAGAGTAGACAGGCAGCTTGCACGGTCGCCAATGTCGCAGTTTCAGATTCGTGCATGAACAACAGCTTTGCTTGTTCCGCAAACATGTCACCAGCCGTGTGGGGGTCTGCGGGGTCGGAACGGACTTCCACGCGATCAGAATAGCGCGAGGCCAGGGCGAATACTGCAGATAGTAGAAGAGGAGTGCAATACAGCCCGGTACCGCCTTTTTTGTAATCTTCCACGAACGATTCCTTGTCGATGAGATACACCCATGGGTTCTGCCATCTCCAGTAGAGCTCGAGTAGGTGCTCCTCGACCTCTGGGGACACCTTGGCCAGCTTCCCGAGCCGAGCCGCAGTTGCGAGCCCGGCTTGCTGCGACGAGTCGAGAGATTCAGTCGCGGCGTTGTAAATCGGTCCGTGGAGGAGATGATAGTTGCTCTGTGCCCCAAAGTATCGCAGCTGGCCGTCTTCGCCAATATTCAAACGGCCTGCGCGCTGGGTTATCTCACCAATCGGATTTCTCGACTCTGCCGGGAGCGAATCGACGTCTTGGTCAGAGGCATCCGAGAGCCCCGAATGCCCCTCATCCTCGGCACTCTCTGCGCCCTCATGGAGTCCTGGTGAGAGTCCCTGTACAGACTTGCCTATGTCAGCAAGCCGACCTTCTAGAATGGCGATGCGGGCCTGCAGCGACTCGACATAGCGTTTACTTGGGGGTCTACCGTCACGAGGGAAGTGCATTTAGCATGTCGACCAGGAATCAGCACAAAGGCGCAAAACTCACTTCCGTTTGTTCTCGGTATGCTTGTATACACACTCGATTCCTCTTTGTAGGCACGAGGCGCAACACGGTTGGTCTCCATTGCACTGTCGATGTCAGGATATATCATGGCTTTCCTTCGTTAAGATCGGGCCGTGGGAGAAACTCACCTTCGTCCTGCGAGCTCGGCAGGCATCGCACGCAAGTGAGACTCGCTTTCGATTGTCACTCATTCTTTCTCACTGCATCATGATGTGGGCCGGTGGAGATGCTCGTGTGATGCAGGGGTAAACTTGGTGTGGGGTAATAATGGCTTGGGAATCGCGACACGACTTGCCTATACTTGTGCATACGTAATCACACGGGGTCCTAATTTCTGATTTGGGCCATCGTCAGTTTGGATTTGGATGCAAAGGGGGGAAGTCGAGGGCCAAAGGCTTCTCCGCACTCTACGAAGTACTCTAATAATTAATTAGTTGGCGCCTCAGGGGCTCTATCTGATTTATGACCAGCGCACGTCATATGATAAGGGACCGGAGAAGGCCGTATCTTTTCCTGCCGTGAACATGGCCCACAGACTCCCGCCTTAACAATTTTTAACGGAGATGAACGCCAAAAAATGTTAATAAATTGTTAAAGACCCTAAACAATTTCCAGGCTTTACTAACCCTAGTAGGAACATGGCCCCTACAATGTACCAAAGGTACGAAGTGATCTGAGAAATTATACACAAATAATCCCCGCGACCGACACAACGCAAAGTAGGCTTTTTTTGTACATCTGTGAACAGTGCGAATGCAGCCGACCTTTTTTTCTGACACGACCTCAACAGAGAAGCTCATCTAGGTGTTAGGATCGTCACATTAGGCAAGAAAGTAAACTCTTGCACTTGTACTTTCGGTGTGTTTGTTGTGTATAGGCTTCCGATTTTAGTATTACCTCGACGGAAAGAACAAAAGAAAATTTACAAATTCAGCAAAAGGGATCGTGGCCCCTTCCATACACGGCCCAGCAATCCAGTCCTATTCTCTCGACCTAGCTGCGGTTTTTCACTTCGCTCCCAAATCGGCAGTCCTTCGCTCCATTTCACCTGATTAGAGGGAAGACTTTTCTCCGTCCTTGCTGCTGGTAATGGCAGAGGTGGAGTCGACGACCTTGTCAGTCTCTCCATCAGTGGCGGCAAGTTCGTCGCCGAACTTAACAGCGATTTCCTCAAGTGAGAGACCTTTTGTCTCAGGCCAGTAGAGTGCGAATAAGACGGCGAAGATAATACTAAAAGCCATCATGATCAAGTAGAATCGCCAACCGATGGTCTGAAAGGCGGTCGGGGCCGCTTCCACAAGGCAGAGCGACCCAATAAAGAGACCGGCGCATGAGATGGCGAACCCCTTTGCTCTGAGGTGCGTAGGCCAGATCTCTGATCCGTAAACGTAGGTCGACGCATCCATGCAGCCAGCGTAGAATGTTAGATGCAGGTAAAGGAAGAATACACTAGCGCTGTTGCCCGCCTTGTGGTCTGTTCCGCCGTATACCGAGATCAGAACGCTGACGCCGAGCAACGAGGCTGCGCACCCGGCCATACCGACGGCCATCAGCCACTTGCGGCCAAAGTAGTCAAGCATTATGGCATTGAGGAAGTTCATGACGATGCCTTCGGTGAGCCAACCGGCCGCCAGAGCGAGAGACTCGCTGTCGGAGTGGCCTAACGCCTTGTACAGTGAAGGGCCGTAATTATTGATGACCATTGTACCAGTGAGTTGGCCGGCGAGGAGAGTGGAAAATCCGATAATGGCCCTCTTGCGGTAGTGGGGAATGGTGAATACGGAACTCCAGGAACTGGGTAGGGTACGTTCAAACGCGAGCTGCGCATGAATCTGGCTGAACTCTCGGCAAACAAAAGTTTGGCTCTCCTCGTTGTTAGGCTTCCTGTGTATCTTCTCAAGCACCAACTGAGCCCTCTCGTCTTGGCCGTCTTCGATCAACCAGCGTGGGGACTCGGGAATGAAATACAAGCCGCTGGCTAAGATGAGTGGGAAAACGCACTGGATGGCCAGAGGAGGTCGCCACTGAGAGCCACTCGCGTCAACAAAATAAAATGCGAAACCGATCCAGGCCGACGAGGAATATCCGATTAAAATGGAAACACCGTGAAGCCCGACCAGAAGTCCCCTGGAATGAGGGGGAGAGATTTCGCTCTGCCAAAGGGGGACCAACATGACGAGCCCGCCAATGCCCACACCAGCAATAAATCTCGCGACGAGGAACATAGCAATGTGGACGGAGCCGGCCTGCAGAGCACCGCCAATAATGGCAAAAAGGCAGGCTATGAACATAGCTTTGCAACGGCCAAACTTGTCACCGGTAACGCCAGCCATCAGAGTGCCGAAGAGACCCCCGGCCTGGAACAGACCGTTGATGGCGCCCATTAGCTCGGCGGAGTTGGGTGCGGTGTCCAAACCGAAGTATGCGAGGAAGGATGGCTGCCCGAGTGTCGAGCCGATAATTGCTGAGCAATAGCCATAGGTGATACTCCCAAAAGTAGCAAAAGCAATGATCTATTTGGTCCACCCGATCGGACAGCAAGTGTTAGCTTCAATGATACCGTGACTTCGTGACTCAACATGCAGGCCGAATAACAGTTAATAATACGCAAAGCTCTTCTGTCCCTCCGACCGTGAGCTGTAAGTGCTAATACCGCCATCGGAAGTATTTCAATGCAAATAGCTTCTTCTTTGGCTCTGGAGACTTTTATGAAAGTGGGACAGTGCGCCGAAGGCAGACACTAAGAAAACAACAGTACAGAAGGTGAACAAACAAAAAATCCACTTACCATGAGGTTATAGGCCGAGACGGACTCGCCACTTCTACTGAGGAGGGCCATGGTGTTTTCGCGCGATCCTTCTTATCCTGCGAAGGTTGAGTCAAGTATGTGATATGATGTGATGGGTTCGAGAAGTATAACGATCCATACATGGGTGGGCACCCCTATATACTTGTTTACTATCTACCGTCTCTGTATTATGAAGAGCTCGAGGAAAGAGGCGCGCTTGGTGACAAACCCCCTTCGTCGCTTTATCATGGATCCATAAAGTCGGATTACTGCACCTAGCGTGTGGAAATATGGCTAGCGCCAAGCTTGATAGTCGTTAGATTTCTGCAATGGGACCGGCGTTATTATCTCTTACCCCAGACGCTAGTATAAAGTGTGGAATTGGATAAGGCTATGTCTGTCGATAAGTGAAATTCCCGCTCAGTATGGCGTCGGGTAATGCTTAGCCGACGCTAGTTCTCGTAACAAGGGTGCCCACGATTCGGCGCGATGCGTTACGGACAAATCAAAGCTCGCCGATTGTCGAGCCAGTGGTGGGGTTCATGCTTCATGTCCCGGATACTGCTTAAGCGGAGCCTCCACTTGCGCTAACACTAGCTGGTTCCAGAAAGGGAAAGCCTGGATTCCGTGGTTCCGCAGGGCCGGGAGAGCTGCGTCTCTAATCTGGGGAAAGCAGATGTCCTAAATGTGATTCTTCGCAGCTTTTCAAGGTATTTCTACTTGATATCTGGGCACCAGCGGATTCCTAATCTGTAAGATACCGGATCCCCTCCCCACTCTGATGTGACACGCAAACGAAGAGCGAAGCTGAATGTTTGGGCGTGCCTGCCAAGTATCTGACCACATCTTCATAAGCGCTACCTTCATTTGACGAAATGCTCCAATCGAGAAATAGAGATGTGGGCTTTTGGGCAAGAGCATGGATTACTCGTCCGAATCGACTACATTGAGAGATCCAAATTACTAGGCGTACCTGTGTAATTGCAACCAGAGAGTGTCAGATGAGACCTAGCCGCAGCGCTTAGTGGGATAGTGCTTACCCGTCATAGACAGAGGATGATCTATTAGAGATTTGGAACGCCGAATTGGACTTACACAAAGGGCAGCTGCAGTTTATAGTCCCGGTTCAAAGTGTAGTCGGCAGGTGTTGGAAATGGGCCACACACAGACGAATGGTACATGACGCAAGGGGGCTCATCGCTCCGCTGGATTCGATTATTCCGAGTCCCCAGCACAGAGTACATCCGTTCGCCTGGAACACATCCCCCTTCCCCCTTTACAAAATTGGATGCCAATGACTGCTGAAATTTAACCGCTTGAGCATGCATCTCGTCGACATAAACAACAAAACATGTTTCATGTGCCCTAGCTTATCCGCTAATGCTACGATGGTGGTCGGCCGGTTCCCCGGGTTCGAACGTGGTTTCATTGATCAATGGTGTGGAAGAGGAAATAACAGGAATAGGTTCTATCAGAAGAGGTTGCGGATCGTGCCGAGGTCGGAATACGAACGGAACGTTTGCATCCTCGTCGGTTCGGAGTCTGGTGAGTTCGTCGGAGACCACACACTGAGTTCGCAAGAGTTTGACATATTTGACTGCTTATCGAAACTTATCGGCGCATATTTTCCTCCATTGGGCGAGTATCTTCCCGACCCCTCGGGGCATGGAACTTGGGGTATTTGTGATCGCTAGCATCAGAGAACTCAAAACACGTATTAAATACGCGACTTTCGACACCGCGGCCCACGTCTCGGGAGACTAGATATCACCACAGGATTTCGAAATTCCTAGCGATACATCGCAGAGGCTCGGGTTGGGCCAAAGAGAGGTCTTGAAAAAGTACTTGACTGGTAAAGGCGAGGAGCTGCTATGTGAGCATGCGTTGCTGAACGACGACTGGGATAAGAGAAATAGAAGTAGCGCACAGGATGCAAAGCCCGATGTGAAGCTCTTTACTTGCGGATGCCCATCCACACTAGAGACGGCATTGCCATCACATACGGAGAGGCTCGACTCCTTCAGTCGTTAGTTCATCCACGTCACTGTGAAGCATCGACGAAAGATTAACGAGCCTTCCTAGTCACCGCTCAGCTTCACTATCAGACTCGTTAGCCAAGAGCTATCGTAGATAATATATAAGGTTTCCGATAGAGATACCAACAGAATCAAAGACGAAAAGTATGTAGACTAAAATCCATTTTCAGATTCGAAGCTGAGTTCTAGTATTATCATTAAGGCGGAGTAAGGGCTAGCGAAAGCTGAGCTCGGCTAATAGGGGTGAGCGACGTAAAACAGGCCTACTTTAAATTTCCTCCAATCCTTATTGGCTAGAATAGGGTCTACAACGTTTTAGATGACCATCTTTTCTTCTCCACTTTTTTCCATTTTTTATTCCAATCGAGAAATCTTCTTACTCAAATAATCCAGGTCATGTGACTAGCGAAGATCTACCGAAGACATCCTTTACACTATAGCAGTTTGAGGGATCACCTTAACGCGGAGACTTCCCAGTTTATCCGAGTTAAGATCGCACGAGCCGGAAGCAACCCGCACTATGCCTGCCGCCTCTCCCAACGGCACCGTCGTATCGGAAGCTCTGGTGCAGCTTGACCGACCTCGTCAGGCGAATGCTAATCCTGCCGAGAACACCGGCGCAGAACAGGTCGGCTTCAAGCGCCGCCGGATTGCCATTGCATGCGTCGCATGCCGACAGAGGAAATCTAGGGTAACTCGTACTTCGGAAACCCTATTCAGATATCAAACGTATATTATGCTTGAGCTAACTTCATACGTAAGTGTGACGGGACTCGGCCTTCCTGTGGCTTCTGTACTGAGGTAGGCATTCCGTGCGTGTATGAGCAGCCAGCCAAAGGCAGCCAAGCCAAGTAAGTTTTACTATATATGTGCCTACAGGTTCGCGATACAAGGTATGATATATAAAGATTGCTGATCACCACCCTCGCAGAATCCCAAATGATTACGACGAGCGTCTCAGGGCTATTGAAGCCACCCTCCAGCAACTAGTGCAAAACCAAGAAGCGTCCCTAGGCCGGCCATCACCTGGCCACGTCAGCGTAGATGGAGATACTCAAGATGAATCGCAGCCAGTCACTCTAATATGTCATGACGAGCCCAAGGCTCATGACACTATGGTAGATACTGTCGATGGCCTGGCTGCTATTAGCAATGGTGATGTAGACACGCGGTTCTTCGGTAAGCACATACCTCTCTTTTTCCCATCCATTGCATACATCTCTTTTTTCCCCAGTTACTAATTGGCCACTCCTTTCATTGAGGTCCCTCGTCAAACATCTCGTTCCTCAAGTTGATTTCAAAGGCGACATCAGCTATTCTCAAAATAGTAACGCCTCCTCAACGATCCAACCAAATAGGGGCAGAGGACTCCATCACGCAAGTGCCATCGCCTGCGGCTTCGATCGTGGCTTCTACGCCCTTTAGAACGGCGGCTACAAATCCCCAGGTGTTGCCTGCCGAGGTGCAAGCCGTTTACCTAATAAGACTCTACTTCGCCGACACGGGAACCATGTTCCCTTTCATCTGCAAAGAACAAGTCTTGTCTACGTATTACACGTACAAAGCGCATGGCTTCTCTGGCGTTAGCCGGTCGTTTCTATGCCTCCTGAATGCCATCTTTGCCTTTGCAACGTATATCAGTGCGAAGCCTGAACAGCCGATTACAAAGTGCGCTGCTGAATCGGACGTATTTTTCTCACGAGCACTCGCCCTACGAGCAAGCCATGCTCGACAAACAAACGACGTGGAAACAGGTAATAACTAGCATAATCGTTCGGCCCCCCCACAATTGCTAGGGACACGTAGGTGGGATGCTGAGCTGACGACAACATATTAAAGTGCAATCACTCCTGCTCCTCGGCCTCTACTGTCAGGGCACTCAGCGTCCCGAAGAGTCATGGACCTTGCATGGCCTCGCCGTCCAAGCAGCATTCCGTCTTGGGCTGCACTCACCGTCGAGAATGGCTCAATTTCAAGGCAATGAAAGAGAGATACGAAAACGACTCTGGTTCGGCTGTTTTGTCATGGACAGGTAGGTTTCATTACTGGAGTGTTTTTTCTTCCCTAATCGTTCCGTGGTGGTATACCAAAAGCTCATATACAGAAACTCAGAATGCTCACTACGACGTTGGGCCGGCCGCCCATAGTTCAAGATGAATTCATGAATCTTCCGCTACCGTTGGATGGCAGCTTGGATGCACCTGTACGGACAATGGACCACCACGTTGGTGAATACGGCGACGCCGGCCTAGTCAACACGGCATCCTTTTTCATAGCGACAATGTATGTGTTGTACCATTCCATCGCCAATTGATGATAGGCAGCGCCACAAATGAGATTAACATCAACGGATCCTTGCAGAAAGCTTTACGAGATTCTAGGATCCGTAGTCGCCAAGCTCTATGGACAAAACCTAGACGAAGGGCTTGTAGAAAACAGGCCAGTTCCGACGCAAGACATACTCACAATCGAAGACCGGCTCTGGAACTGGAAGAGGAATTTATCCGAAAAATTGTCGTTGAGACCATGGCTGAATAGCGGACCGAGCAGCGAATGGTCCCAGCAGCAGCCCCCCTATCACCCCGTATTCGCCCGTCTCAGCGTCGTTACCCGGCTGCGGTATCTTTGCGTGAGGATTCTACTTCATCGCCCGATCTTGACCCATCTTCTCCTGGAGAGGCGATTGCCGTTTGGGGAGAGTGATGGTGATGGCAGCGTAGGCTTGACGCAGGACATGTGGAAGTCGAGTGTCGTTATTTGCCAAGATTCGGCGATGGAGACTATCGACATTATTCATCGTATGAGCAACTCAACGCATCTTCTTGGGGCTTGGTGGTATACCATATACTTTGGTAAGTTCCCGTCATGGTTGCATAGTTATGTTGAAAATGGTAAATCGTGGCTGGGCTGACCCTTTCCTCTTTCCGTAGCATTCCACGCTGCTCTCGTTATCTTCAGTCGTCTTCTTCTCCTCCTGGATTCTCGTAATACATGCTCACTAGGAACAAACAGCACAGACCCGGAGCTGATCTCGCGGTTGACTACTCACTTGATCCTATCCGTCGAGGCAGCGGAGTGCATAGGGCGAGATGCGAAACCGGCGCGGCGAGTCGTTGCTGTCCTGTCGAAACTTCTAAGGATTTGTATTGTACTAGGTCTGTTATAACAATCCATGTTATCCTTTCCAGCACAGGAGTACTGATTGTCATGCCCAAACAGGAAAGTGCAACGCTGAACATGGGCCCTCTGTCATGGCTGCAGTCTATGCTAGAAGAACTTCAGAGCCGATACGGGAATTAATAACCTCCCTTTCGGTTTCGGGCGAGGAGTTGGCCGCCTGCGCAGTGTTCGGTTCCCATGAGCCACGTCCGCTGTCGTCAAGCGAGATGTTTGATCCCTTTGGAAACGTTTCTCAATGGTGGCCGCCCACGGAGCTCGAAGCGCTAGGGGATCTTGTCGATCTCGATGCCAGCCTTGTTGGATTGGTCACTTAGTCTTCGCAATAAGTCCTTAGGAATAATTTCTCTTATTAGGCGAATCGGTTGTTCCTTATGTTTATCAATCTGCGATATGATACATAATATATTCCATACTGTGTATTGTTGCTATCTGTTCCCTTTTCTGCATTCTCATCGGACATGTAAATTTTATGATGGAAACGTGCCCCAATCACGATCGCCTTCGAAGTCGCACTCTGCACTCGACAGCCTTATTGAAGAATCCCTCTCTTATTACAGTTGGCCTGTCATTCATCCTTTCCACGTCGTAGAGTTTGAACAGTAGTGCCATGGCTTTGAGAATCTCCATCCAAGCAAAGCTACGATTTGTTAGTTCAACCTTAAATGTTTCTGATACGCAGGATGGCGAAGTGCTCACTTTCGTCCTATGCAGACTCTGGGTCCAGTGGAAAACGGTATAAAATGCTCCATGAGCGTGCTCGCGCCAGGCCCAAGCCATCTTTCCGGCTTGAATTGTGTCGGACATGTGAATATCTCAGGGTTCATCAGAACGCCGCAGGTCGGTACACTGACGATGGTCTGCCCCCCCCCCAAACCAAAATTCATCAGCCTTGGTCCTCGAATAATAGAACGGCCATTGAACAAAAAATTGACCTACATTTTCGGGTATAAACTTTCCAGCAATCACTTTTCCTCCCTTTGGCGTTATACGTTCCAGGCCAGTTGCGCTTGTCGGCCGGAATCGCATCACCTCTCGGAGAACAGCGACCAAGAAAGGTAGTTTGACCACAAGATGCTCTTCCGGAACCCAGTCATCGTCCTGTTCGCCCGGCCACGACTCATCAAGCTCCTGCTGGATCCGCACCTGTATTGCCCGGTCCCGAGAGACAAAGTCGATAAAGTTGGTCATAGTGCTGCTGGTTGTGTCGCTGCCTCCAACGATGAAGCTGATAGACTCTGCGATGATTTCAGCCTCTTGTATCGGTTCCTTGTTCTTGGGGTCTGCGGCCGCGAAGAGGTAGCTCATGGCGTCTCGGCGTTCCTCGGTGGACTCCTTGCGTCGGACGTATGCCTCACGACCAATTTTTTCCAGGTTGGCTGTGGCTCTCAGACCTGAACTCCAGAACGAATCGAAGAAGTTGTACCTTACGAAAGGTCTCATCCAGGCGGATAGAGTTCCGAGGGCGTTGAGGACCTCTCCGCGCATGTCGATGGTGTGGATAAGGTTATATTGATCGTAGCCCTTCTCGATGAACCCAAACGACTTGCCGAATGCGAAACTGCCGATAACATCAAATGCAAGATAGTTGGCTATAATTAACCTAAACTGTTTAGAGACTAGTCTTCGAAAAGGGGAGGGTGGAAAAGGTCAACGGAAACTGGTATTCTTACTCCACACAACCATGTCAAGGCAACCCTGTTCCTCATCATGAATCTGACGTAGCTGACGCTTCCAAGCTAACAATTCTATATTCATCTGAGGCTCAAAGTCGGACAGGGCGCGCGCTGAAAACGCCGGGTTCATATACTTCCTCTTTCTAGTGTGCTGGGCGACGTCGCGCGCGTTGAAGATGACCGGTCTCACCTGCAAGAACGCGTCGTAGAAGTCGCTCTTCGTGAAGCCCGTCTTGTGGCCGTAGATTTGGGCAACGGCTTCTGCGGAGTTGATGGAAATGTGGTTCGGAGCGATCCGAACGAAATCGCCGTACTTCTCGTGCTGCTCCATGACGGCGGCTGAGCGGCGCGTATAGCGGCATTGTCTGGCCAGCCACAGGGACGACATCTTAGCCCAGAAGGGCCCGGGATAATCACGCAGCTTCGAGAGAGCTAGACGGGCGATTTGTGCCAAGACCTTGGGGATGCAAGAATGGAATTAGTGGTTGCTCGAAGCAACAAGAACCATGCATAGCCGAGGGAAAAGCGAGCACTAGGGAGATGACGTACGGTGAATGACACTAATGTAGTCAGACCATGGATCAGACCGAAGTGGCCCAAGACTTCGCGGTTGAATACAATTCCCATCCTATTCAAGACCTCAGGGTTGAGTACGATTCTCATCTTATTTAGGAGTGCCAATGATCCTTCGTTCATAGTTGGTCGCATCGATGCCATTGTTACGGTATTGAAACTAGAAAGCATCTTGAAGGATCTCTTTATATTATACAACTTCAGAAGATACGAATGAGAGTGAGACGATACAATAATTCGGCTTTGATCTTGGTCCCAACGTGTGAGTGCCTCTTGCCCTTACCCTTCGGTTAGGCGGGGATCATCGGTCCGGTGCGGGACATCTCGTCGGGGATATCGGGGAAGCACGGGAATGATCCCCTCACGACTACATGGAGGCTTCTCCCCGCTTTTCAGTTAGCTCCAACTTACCCCAGATCCTCCGTTTCCCGATCTGCCCCTAGGCTCCCCAGATTCACTAGTCTTCCCAATCTCCCCGATTTCCCCAGATTATACCAGCTGCATAGTTTAGCGCGACTTGAGAACCTAAACCGAGACCACGGGAGACCAAAAATCCGGGGAAGACATTCGCTTCGTTTCCGACGTGAATTGGTAGGGGAAGCTAGTGCGGGCTCGGCCAACGTATTAAGAACTGGATCCCCGACGTTCGAGTTCCAGACATTTGGTCACTATGGCTCTCCCTCCTTCATATCACTCTAACTGTGAGTTATACTGCCTCTCGACCAATATGGATCTCAAAGAAGAACCCCAAGGAAGCCACAATGATAGCATTAGAGAGGAGAGTGAGGGAACGTCCTCGATCGATCCTGCTCTCGAGGCGTCGATCCGGAAGAAACTCGATATGCGTCTCATGCCTATTCTGACATTGGTTTACCTGTTCGCCTTTATTGACAGGTCGAATGCAGGTAATGCGCGAGTACTGGGTAGGTTCCATTATTTTTGTTTCGAACTCTCCCGTTTAACTTGTGCTATTGGTTGACGCTAAGTCTGAGAAAAGGCATGGGCGAGGACTTGAAACTTGACGGCTATCGATTCAACATTGCCCTTAGTGCTTTCTATGTTCCGTATATTCTCTTCGAGGTGTAGGCATGCCCGCCTGGTCGCATCACATCACCATCTGGACATTGTCTCTAACTTGCTTTTTTCGTCTTTATTAGGCCTGCGAATGTCATGTGCAAGATTGCCGGTCCCAAGATCTGGAGTTCGTTGGGCCCTTTGATCAAATCAATGTATCTTGCTGCGCGCTCTCCGCTAACTACTCCCCTCTTCACGTCCAGTTCCGACCCTGGCCATATTGTTTGGGCTTGTTGTCACCTGCATGTCTACGCTTAAGAGCTACGAGGGGTTTATCGTAGCCCGAGTTTTCCTTGGATTCGCTGAAGCGGGTAAGATATCTATGCCTCGCGCCAAGACGGAAGCTGGGATTGACCGGGAGAAAAAAAATGGCAGGAATTATGCCTGGTATCAGCTATACTTTGGCTTGTTTGTAAGTTGTGTGTCTTGAATGTGCCCAAGTACTTCAATCATCACCCATTTAACCCCGGCGGTTTCATTTAGCTACCGAAGACGTGAGCTTGTGACGAGGGTTGGCTTATACGCAAGTGTAGCTTCTTTGAGGTGAGTTGCCGGCCGCACGCACAAGGATTTTACCAGTGTCAAATGCTGATGTTTTAATGTCTCGCAGCGGCGCGTTCGGGGGTCTACTTGCAACGGCTTTCACCAAAATCCCTTCCTGGGGTATCATCCATACCTGGCGCAACATTTTTTTCTTCGAGGGCATCATCTCAATCATCCTTGGGATCGTAGCCTTTTTCATTTTGCCGTCGTCTCCTGCTACAGCCTCCTTCCTGACCCCAGAAGAATGCAAGGTAGCTGTCAGCCGCATCGCCGACGATTTGAAGACAGAGCAGATTGAAACCATCAAGAAAGAGTACTTTAAGCGCGCCATTTGGAATCCAAACACGATCTTACTCGCTGTCGCAATGCTCTGCAGCCTCACGTCCATGAACTCGATGGCCCTATTCGTTCCCTCCATCCTAAACGCCATGGGCTACAGCGGCATCCACAGCCAGCTTCTGTCCGTCCCTCCCTACGCCTGGGCTACTATTGTCTGTATCTCAGTTAGCACGCTTTCCGATCGCACTTGCAAACGAGGAAAATGGATCCTCACTGTCATGCCATTTACAGTAGCAGGGTTTATCGTCTTACTTACACCTGCTAAAGTGGCTGTACACTACTTTGCATTGTTCCTGTGTCTCACTGGCGTTTTCACAGCATCGCCTATGCTTGTTGCTTGGTCTATTGATAATAGTGCTGGTCACCTGACACGGGCTATCGTCTCAGGATTCTCTGTCAGTTTTGGAAGCACTGGTGGTATCATTGCTGCGTGGACGTACGTGCTGCCTGATGCGCCAAGGTATATCAAAGGGCACGCTCTCAATCTCAGCTTCTCCTGTCTGTGTATTGTAGTCGTCGCTGTGACTATCTTTTATCTGAACTGGGAGAATAATCTCAAGAGAACGGGTAAGAGAGACTACCGTCTGGAAGGAAAGTCGGAGCAGGAGATTCAGGACTTGGGGCATGAGCACCCGGAATTTCTCTTTAACTTGTAGAAAACAATAGTTAGGTAGCGGTCCGTCTTACTATACTAATTGTTACTTTTATTACGACGCAATATAACTTTTCTCAGCCTGTGTGCACTTAGCGCCATTTTCAGGCATTACAGGCGACTAAATGACTTACGCGGTCTTAGAGAGTTAAGAATAAAGCTGCCCCGAGCTGTAATGTAGGGCTGGCTCGGCCCAGAATGGGCAAGCCAGGGTCTAGTTAGTGGACGGCGGACGGTTGGACAGACACTAAGAGGCCTAGCCAAGACATCTGCGTGGGGTGGGTGTCAATGTTCGAGACTCCGAAAGCTGGGCCGATCAAGGGTCGGAGTCTTGTCTTTCAGGGCAGGTGGCGGTGCAAAAGGTTGAATCCAATTTCCAAAGCTAACACACGACACGCTCTCTGATCGGCCAGCCGGAATCCGGCAGCGCTGTTCCTGCCACGTCCACTTTCTCTCCTGCTCCTTCCCATTTCAATTCTCACCATTTCCTCGCGTCCGCATTTGATTCCTTCGACGACCAACGTCGATTGATTGCGCTTTGTCTGACCATGATGTTTTCCAAACAAATCATCACCGCCCAAACCATACATGTACGGTAGGCATTTCCCGGCGCGAGGTGCTAGTACAGCCAAATACAAAAATCAACAAATAAACAGAGCACGACAACAGAGCGACACCGTTCGCAGTTGCCTGTCATGGCTCCCCACCTGCAGCGGCACGCGAACCTGAACCAGCCGGGACCGCGCCGATTCTACTTTTCCTCCCTTCGCAGACATCGTAGGCGCATCGTCGCCGTTGTCATCGTTGTCGCGATCTACTATTTCTTCAGATTTACCCCCGCACCGCCCCGCAGCATCGCAAACTCAAATGGCGGCCGCCCGACGCGCACGACGCCAGACCGCGACCTGGACCCTCAACCTCACTTCATCTATCGCTCGTCGTTCCGGATGAACCCTAATTCCGCATACGAGGCAGATGTCGACGCGGCGCTCGTGAGTTTAGAGCACCGCGTTACGCGAGGAGAGGTAGACGACGGCCAGAATGTCTCGCAAAAGCGACCGCGCAAGCTATGGCAAATCTTGCTCGGCCCTGCTGAGAGGGGTCCAGATTCCTGGGCCTTCGAAGAGAAGAATCGCGCATGGGAATATACCGTACGTTCCTGCTCCGTTTACCAAGCAGCCTTCTTCCTCCATCAATCGATGCAATTGTCACCTCAAAAAATCTAACCGGATTCCTTCCTGCTTCAGGTCGTAAGAGACGAATGGGCGAATAGCTTCGTCAACGACACATTCGGCGCGATCCCCGGCCTTGTCGACCTCTACAAATCCTACCCCTACGACGTCCTCCGCGCCGATCTGCTCCGCTACCTCATACTCTGGTTTTACGGTGGATACTACGCCGACACCGACATAAACCCCGCCCGCGCCATCGACTCCTGCCCGCCCCTTGCGCCTGTTTTACCTACGAATCAGGACATCCACAACGCCAACATCTCGCTCGTCATCGGCATCGAAATCGATGAGCCTTGGGCATCGGCCAAGCTGATGCGTGAATGGCACTGGATAAGAACGTACGGTTTCGTGCAGTACAATCTATACGCGCCGCAGAGGTTCAGCCCTTTGCTTCGGAGAGCGATCGTCCGCGTCCTCGCCCATACAAAGCGACATAAAGACGCGAGCTGGCTCACGGGCCCCATATACAACGAGAAGACGATTCTCGAAATCACCGGCCCTGGTGTTTTTACCGATGCCGTTCTCGACGTCTTGTCCGAGACACTACCGATAACCCATCCCCTGGTTCAGGCGTCCGTGGCCGCAGACGCAGAGGTGGGGGATTTAGCTGTCCCCGTTGGTGCCGAGAGCAAACGCGAGCGCGTCACTTGGGCGCCGTTTCATCGTCTGCGTGAACCGTTATGGATTGACGCTACGGAAGCTGCCGCGGGCAAATCTATGGGTGGACTCGGGGTTCTTCCCATCAGCGTGTGGGGCAACGGTCAGAGGCACAGCGGCTCTGAAAGTTTTCGGAGTCCGCACGCGTGCATCAACCACAGGTTCAAGGGCACGTGGAAGAAGGGTTGGTGGCAGCGTTGGTTTGGGAAGCAAAATCGATGATTGTCTTGATTGTCTTGATCTTCTTCCTGGGAAGTGGATGGTGTGATTTGACCAGTCTAGACCTTCCTGAGCCGCTGCGCCATGGACGACGGTCCTGGAACCAAGCTACGAATTGACCCTACGTCGTACAGCCGGATCAGCAGCACGGCTGATTTTGTCACCGGCACCCGGATAATGCTTCTTTCTGTGCGATGATCGCCACAGAACTATCACGTTTGACTCACGATCGTCTTAGATGTAATTGATACCCAGTTTTACTTGCGTCTTGTGGTCCTTCCCATTGACCCTCTCAACCATTTTTGTGATGCGCCTGGCCGTCAAGGTTATGTTGAGACGAGTTTTAGTGACGGGCGTTTCTGTCGGTCGCACAACACCGACTCGATTGAACACACGAAACAAAAATAGTATGCGACACTGTCTCGGCATTCTCGGCTGCAAAGCAAGAACGAAACAAGACAAGGCGACACCTATCACCTACCATTAGAGACAGCGTTTGTTTCAACCATTTCTCCTCCTTCCAAAATCCGCTGCCGGTTTCCCGACTTTGCTCCGGCAAATCAACCACGCGTCGTCATTTGCTTTCCTAGCCCGAATCCTGCATACCCTTGATGCGCGTGCCCAAGGAGGTGATCGCATCCGCAACTCCCCCTAGCGGGTCTGCTATCGCTCGTCACATCATCGCCCGCACCTGGTTCGGGCAAGAGGCGAGGCGAATATCAAGAGAAGCGGGAATCGTGATAGCTGTGAATGACTCCCGCTCCTATAATGACAAGCAGTCTAGTTTAAAGTGAACAATAACAGAAATAAAATTTAGTAATCAGTCGACGGTGTTAGAGACTGATTAGAGTTCAATCTCTTGATGGCAGCCAACGTCCATATTGCACCAGGATCAGGCCACATTTATACATAGGTTCGAAAGCGTGATCATCAGCTATATCCCGAAGATATTTCGTATCTTCCGCAGAAAGCCTGAAGGTATCATACTTCGTACACTGCCTTCAGCCATTCGTTTGTGGATCAAGTTAAGAGATGACCACAAATTCTACCTACCGTCCATTCCTGATCCTAGGCGGAACCGGGACCGTCGGTAGCCGTGTTACCCACCACCTGCGGAAGGAGGGCCATCCAGCCCTCATTGCCTCTCGATCGGCGAAGGGGAATGGTGAAGGTCCCCTCGCTGCGAAGGGCGCGGTCTACTTCGACTGGTATGATGAGTCCACATATTTGAATGCATTCAACCACCCCCTCGCCGTCGGCTGCGGCGGGATCCGGGGAATTTTCATCGTCGCGCCGCCATCGACAAATATGGCCCCTGCCATCCAGGCATTCATCGATCTCGCAAAAGGGAAAGGGGTCCGTAGGTTTGTGTTCGTGAGCGCCAGCTCCGTGTCCATGGGTGACGAGGTCCTCGGAGGACTGGTCCACAAGTATCTATATGAGTTAGGTTCCGCAGGCGAGATCGAATGGGCTGTTTTGAGACCGTGCTGGTTTATGGGTATGTGTACACAGCCCTTTGCTTTTCCCTTGGGAGGAGTCGCAAACCATGAGAAGCCACATAATCTGGAAAGGCCCTCTAATATATCATCAGAAAATTTTATCACACAGCGTGAACGGGTGGATTTCTCCCCAGAGGGCGGCGTTATATACTCGGCCACGGGCGAGGGACGCATTCCTTTTGTTTCAGCGGACGACGTAGCCGAGTGCGCTGCGTGTCTCCTCTTAGACCCGGATCCGCCGAATTCCGACTTCCTCATCCTAGGACCAGAGGCACTATCGTATGGAGATGTGAGTGCACCGATGCCTACACGGCGATCACCCTACCTATGCCTTAATTCTTGGCTCCAAAAGTTGCTTTCTATGGAGTGCCGCTACTAAACCGATACATCAGGCAGCAAAGATTTTGTCCGAGGTCCTACAAAAGCCAGTGATTCACAAAGACCTCACAGTTTTCGAAATGGAAGCCAGGCTTCGGTCCTTTGGAATTTCGGAGGATTATGCCAAAATTCTGGGCGCCATGGAGACGAATGTCAAACATGGCTCCGAGGACAGAATGGACGACAGCGTGCTTGCAATAACGGGGAAACGCCCCAAGACACTTCGAGAATGGGCCGAGGAGTACAAAGCAGCACTGCTGGAGACCTGATTCTGGTTACTGAACCTTTGGACTAATCCATAGCATGTCTGAGGAAATGGATGCTGGGGCTCTCCGTTCTAGTATCAGCGAACATGTTAACAAGCATTATTCACGGGAAATACCGTGCCCCAAGACGTAGGCTTTAGCGCAGAGGCGAGTCCAGGTAGCTCTTGTTAGTAGAATTTTCTCGCATAGAGCATGGATACTTGCATTCTAGTTGAAAGGCAGTCCAAATAGGTTTGACTGCAGGTACATAACCCAGCTTATAGCCAATCCAAGATGCTGCTTTCACGAACGAGGGCCCAGAAGCACCAAGTCAGTTGGACAGTAAGGGACTAGTCTCGTCCTGGCCCGTATGCGGCCGTTCCTCTTCCTCTGCGATCCTCCACAGCAGCGCAACTGCCAAGAGGAGACCCTGGACAAAGCCAAACAGAAAATTGCCCACGGTAGCATAACCGATGTATTCCTACCACTCCGTCCAAGTCGGCCGATCAATTGTCATCCTCCAAGTCCATGAGCCACCCATCAACTGAAACACTACTGCTTGCACAACAAGTCCCCTGACACTCAAGCTCTGAGGAACAGGACGTCCCTGCATGACGAGCCATTGGCAAAAGAGCGACAAGGAGAAGATGCCCGCCGTGACGAACCAGTTCACCCAATATGTATGCATAGACAAGAACATATCAGGACCCCACTGGTCGTTGTCCCGGACGGACTTTGAGAAGTATGCGAAAATGGGAACGATGGAAATGGAGGCGAAGGCTAGGTATCCGAGTATGACCGTGGCCTTTTCAAATTGGCGGCGCGGAGGATGCCAGATTGCCGCAGCGAATCTATCAGTGGTCAGTCAAGCCCAATTAAGGGGTTGGTCCGCCCACGTCGCCGTCGTTTCCAACAGCAGAATCCACATCTAGAGGAAGTTCAGCAAGTCGCCAAAGGTTGGCGGCGTAGACACTTCGCTATCTGGATAACTCTCGCTGAAGAGGAAAAGGCCCGAGGACACCGTAACTCGCTCCATGGCAGAGACCGCACTCAACAAAAGGCACACCGGAGATATGCCCGCAGAATCCCCTCGAAACGATTTTGTAAATTTGAGGATAGAAAGAGATGGCGCTTGCGATAAGAAGCGCCCTGACATATCGGAAGACAAGGCATCAATACGAGTTATTCAATACATAACTCGTCGACTGAGGTGGCAGATGCTAGACTCTGGAGAGTAAGGAGAGGCACTCACGCTTCGAATAGTGTTATGCTGCAGAGTGAGGAAACCCATGATGTCAGTCTCTTCGGACCTTCGCTGCTGGTAACTTGTTTGCTCTGTCGGCAGGGCAAGTGAGAAATTTAGGACAAGCAAAAGAATGGTCGGTAAGCATCGAAAAGCAGCCCGGTACTGGGTGTCCTCGGAGTAGACGAGGGAAGTAATGGGTGACGTCGACGATATGGGAATGGTCTGTATGGAATTATTTGGCAGCCTAGAGGAATAGCATGAAAGCCCATTGCTGTACCGCACATATTATTGGTACTATTGGTTACACAAGTAACAAAGCCCGAGGGAGATGAGACATATTAGCGGTGCCCAGCCTGTAAGAAACCCATCCAGTCTTGCAGTCCTCCGTCGAATAGGGCAGGGCTTAAAGCTCCGATGCTGGGGTAATGCGCAGAGATGGCAACGACTGAGGTGAATTAAACCTTTCACGCCCGAAGCATGGACTACATGGAGATAATATACATTCTTTTCTTCGGACACGCGAAGCAGGCCGAATGGGAATAATCAATAAGTACGAACCTTGACAGCAGCTCTCCCGTAGATGCTCCCCTTTGGAAAGAGGGGAACATCCACGGATTCGGAACGAATTCTGTGGCAGCCTCGCCCAATAATATTTCTACATCGAGTACCACGTTTTGCTCGGAGGCTACTCCAAGGCTTTCTCGTGCGTCATAGTGGTCGAAGGTCAGCCGTAGACAGGGATGCACAGGATGAAGCGCTCATTGCAAAATTTGCCCAGATCCAAGGCGAGACTCGCTTTATTCGGGCATTCGATAGTCAGGCTACCGTTCAGCTCGGCTGGATATCGGGGATGCATATTATTTATCGCCTCATATCCTCTGCGCTCAAGGGTTGTCGTCCCCTTTTCGAAGAATTAGGGGAGAAACAGACACGCCCACATACACCCGACTTTGGACCATAACCACATGCACAGAGGCGTATAATGGTAAACCGGCGGTGAAGAAACTGTGCAAATCGAATGGTAGATCGTGAGGCGGAAGTTGGTCGTCGATGGAGTGAGGTTCCGGAAGAACCTAGCTCGTAATAAGAAGGCAAATAAACAGAGTGCTGCGGTCCCATGTCTCCACGTAAAGGGCGTATACCCTTTTTATCTACTCATTTTCTCCATGAGGTTTGACTGACTGGCAGCTGCTAAAGACGGCTGGAGAGGTTTCACTACGGTGCGGATGCATTAAGACTCAAGCCACGTGGTATATCAACCCTCTCTCTTGAAGAAGCTGCAAGCCCCCCCCCCCCAAAAAAAAAAAGGCTGGACCCCGTATCTTAATTGCCATTGTTTTCGAATTACGTACAAATAGAAGTATTGCGTACGATAGTTCATCTCCTCGAGGGAGCCGACGCGGGGAGGCGGCCGAAGTTCTTGACTTTCTCGGGTTCGGCGGATAGCTCTGACGATGTCACCCCATCACTCGGTAAGTCCATGTCCATGTTTGGGTTTCGGCCACCCGCTCTTGTCGGGTCGGTAACGCCATCACGAAATCACAAATGGAACTGAACATCACGACCAAACAACATCTCGGTCTCTGAAGGGAAAAAAAATGAACAAGAAGGAGAAAGACTAGGCCGGATAAAGACGTCTCCCCGACTCTCTTGCTTCAATAAAATCCCATCTATCAAGCTTGTCTCGGTAGCAAGAAAAAGCTTGCTCTTAGTCTTGATTGCCCTGAGCGCGTGGCCACTGCGGAAAAAAATCGTAAAATATTGATCTTTTCCTGACAAACGACATTCCTGCACTCTCTGGACAGGCGGAGCCGGACCCGTCCGAGTGGAGGAAAGGGAGTGGATGCACAACGGCGTGGGTGAATGAATGGAGACACCGATGGTGGCGTGGGGGAAAGAGAGAACTTTCCCGCTCTCACCACAACAGGTACGAAGTGGATACAGAACGTTAGAAAACAGGCTTTCTTTACTTTACTTTGCTCGACTTTCACTCAACTCAGTGCTCTCTACCTCTGCTGTTGCCGGCATAGCCGAAGCTTGGTGCCACCAAGCCAATGACCGTAAAGGGATTCGACATCTGCTCCACAACTCATCCAGGAGTTAAGTTAAACCCTCGACAGCAAGTTCTTGCTAAAAATTTACAGTGGAGGATCAGCGGCCTGTCACAAAGCTAATCTTTCACGGCATATTGGGGTCTTTTAGATGGGTTCTATATATCGAAACGTTTTCGAAAAAGAGGCACGCGACACCTGCCCCGATGCCAAGAGATCTCGTAGAATATTTTCTGCAGCAGGGCTGTCCGAGCCAGGTCCCGTCTTGGCGAGAAAGCTTGTTCCGAGAGTTGGCCGATACCCAGAAAGGCTCTAGAGATCGCGGAGTGGCAGTGAAAGTGGGCGAAAAAAGAGAAGATAATCAAATGTCACTCCACGGGTGCGGCGTAGATTCGGTCTCCAAATAGGGGCTAGTCGGCTGAATACAAGAGGCGAATCTTCAATGGAACTAGTTCCTGCAATCGACACCGCTGGTGGAGAGACTGGAGACTGGAGACTGGTCGATAGCCTTGTTCTTGATCGATCCGGCGCCGTGGGCCCACACCCCATCTCACACCCCCCACGTGTATCCTTCTCGGGCTCTCGTAGGACCGGAGCTTGCGTCTGATTCCGTCCGGTCGGGGGTAGCGTCGTATTACTGGCATCTCCGACACGGGACGTGACGATAGATCGAGAGATGACTCGGTGTCTCCAATTTGGCAATTCAGCACCTGGCTATCTTTTCGAGTGTGCGAATTATCAAGGATTGAAGCATCTCGACTTTGAAAAATTTAACCCCACGGTTCAAGTTAGGAGAGGATGAAAGGAATATGTGGATAATGAGCGCGGCGTGGCGTCACCATGGGAAAGGATAAAGTTCAGCGTCCTCCCGCTACTTGTTGCGAGGAAATTCAGTCATCTTTCTGGTCCAGAAACCTCCCAGAACCAGCCCTTTAACTGCAGTCTTTGAACCCAATCAGACTGACAAGATGGTGCTTCACCAATATGATTACATCTTTGCCATTGGCACTTTGTTTGCCATGCTAGATGCCTACAACAATGGTGCAAGTGAGTACTCTTTTCTGGCAGCCCTCTTCCATCCGTCCTCTTCCTCCCATCTCCAGCCTCTACGGCTAGCCTGCCTTTCTTCTTCTATGCCAATGCTTTTCCTTCCACCGACCTTCCGCTAACATTAAGCAGACGATGTGGCAAACGCCTGGGCTACCAGCGTCTCGTCTAGATCCGTCACCTACAGACAGGCCATGGTCTTCGGTACGGTCTTCGAAATGCTAGGCGCTATCTGCGTCGGTGCTCGTACGGCAGACACCATCAAGAATGGCATCATCCCTAACTCCGCCTTCCGTGATAACGCCGGCGTCCAGATGCTCGCCTTCACCTGCGCCCTCGCCGCCGCCTCCTCCTGGGTTATGTGGTGCACCCGACACTCTGCTCACGTTTCCTCCACATATTCACTCGTTTCTGCCGTTGCTGGTGTTGGTGTTGCAACCGTTGGTGCCTCGCAAGTCCAGTGGGGCTGGAACAATGGCAAGGGACTCGGCGCCATTTTTGCCGGCCTCGTCATGGCTCCTACCATCTCTGGCTGCTTCGGCTCCATCATCTTCACGCTCATCAAAGTCATCGTGCACATGCGGAAGAATCCCGTCCCATGGGCCGTCTACAGCTCTCCGTTCTGGTTCCTTCTCGCGTCCACTCTCTGTACGCTTTCCATCGTCTACAAGGGTTCTCCCAATCTCGGTCTCAACAAGAAGCCCAGCTGGTACATCGCCGCTGTCACTATGGGCTGTGGTGGTGGTGTGTGCCTCCTCTCCGCTCTCTTCTTCGTTCCCTACTTGCGTGCCAGGGTCATCAAGAAGGATTACACTGTCAGGTGGTACATGTTCTTCCTGGGCCCTTTGCTCTGGAATCGCCCCGCACCTGAAGATGCCGAAACCGCCCATATCCCCAACTACGCCGTCGTGCAGGACGACGATGATGAGGGCAACGAGAAGAAGAACGCTGCTCTCGGTGGCTCTCCCAAGTCTGTCGCCGAGTCTAACCTTACCGCCAACGACCTCCAGATGCCCGAGCCTGCCCACAGCGACGGCGAAAAGGAATTGGTTAGCAACGAAGCCAAGCAGTTGTCCTACAAGGAGATTGCTGCGCAAGGTGATCGCCGACTCCGCGAAAAGCTCATAAAGAAACGCGCTCCTATCGGATGGGCTCTGCGTACTCTGCGTGACAATCCCATGGGTCCCGGCCAGATTTACGAGCTGCACAACATCAAGATGCTCGCCAAGCGTATCCCCGCCATGATCGTCTGCGGTCTCCTCTACGGTTTCCACTACGATATCCACGCCGCGCAGACCGGTATCGCGGGTACCCCCGATGGCCAGCGTATGCAACGTGTCTACGCCCATGCCAAGAAATATCCCAACGAAGTCGAGCACACCTACTCGTTCATCCAGGTCCTCACTGCCTGCACGGCTTCTTTCGCGCACGGTGCTAATGATATCGGCAATTCGGTCGGTCCCTGGGCCGTCATCTACTCAGCCTGGAAGACTGGCAATGCCGCCGCTTCCAAGGCCCCCGTCCCCGTATGGCAACTCGCCGTCCTTGCTGCCATGATTTCGGTGGGCCTCATAACATACGGTTTTAACATCATGAAGGGTGAGTGTGCTCCTAGTCGTCGAAGAAACCATCTCCATTGCTAACGTTTCCCTTCTACAGTCATGGGCAACAAAATCACTTATCACTCTCCCAGCCGTGGCTGTTCCATGGAAATGGGAGCTGCTCTCACTGTCCTTATCTTTTCCCAGTACTCCCTCCCTGTCTCGACGTCCATGTGTATTACCGGTGCCACTGTCGGCGTCGGTCTCTGCAATGGGACATGGAGGGCTGTTAACTGGCAGCGAGTGACTCTGTTGCTTATTTCGTGGTTCGCCACGATCCCCGTTGCTGGCACCCTTGGCGGATGCTTGATGGGTCTCTTCATTAATGCCCCTCACTTCTTTTAGAAGATAGAATTAGAATGTCTTGATAGATTTGATAGATCGTTGAGCGATTGTAGAGCGATAGAAAGAATATATATTAGGATATTGTTTTTCCTAATCTTTCATGGCAACATGTGCGATGTCCCCTAATGTCTTCTCAGTCTCCTTGGGCGGAGCCAAAAACTGAGTCATAACCTGGGCTAGTGAGAATGAAGAAAGGACGAGACACTCGACCTCAATTCGAGTGGGGTCGTTGCAAGGTGCAGAGGAGAGGGAAATTCATGGCGGGTAGTAGACTTGATACTTCGTCGCCTCTAGTGTCGTCGTCTTGTCTAGGTATATGGGTTCAGTGGCACTGGTGGGGCTTAGTTTATCAGCCGAGAGAAGGTCAGGTTCTCCGAGGACACCTGGACCTGCAGCCTCCTCATGATGGGCAGAGCAAATGCAACCCTAGGTTCGATACTAATCAAAAGGGTTGGGAATGAGCTTAAGTGCTGAAAGAGAGTAGAGCGATTGGTGTACGCACTTGCTTACCGAGCCTCGGGAAAACAGTCACTCGAGCAAAGAGAACGGTCGTGGGAGCATGGAAAGGAAGTAATGGTGGAACGCTACATCCTATGACAACATCTATGTAACCCGTATCCCTTCCCATTCACATCATATAAACTGCCCCCAAGACCCAGTCCCAAGGGCCCCAACTTTGGCCCGCGATGGGTGGTTCAGCCCTGCCGAACTGGAACTTATATATCCACAAGCTCTTCTTTCTTTTCTTTTGGCTCATTACTACGCATGCATACGACATTTTTTTTTCCTGCTGCTACGCGCCAAAATAAATCATTAGGGTAGTAGAGAGTAATCTACTGGGGAAGAGTAGCCTTGCCAGCGGCCTTGCTCTTGGCGAGGGCGCCATGAAGACCATACTGCGAGGCGACACCGTCGATGCGGTGGACAGTGTTGAGGTTCTTTCGGACGACAAACTGGAAGCAGGTGGCGCTTCCCTGTCGAGAGGCGATGACGGACCAGGCGAGGAAGAGCTCCCAAATCTGAGTGAAACGGTTAGTAATTATATTTGCATTGGGTGTTGCACGGGAGAATGTGAGGGAACAAAAGCTTACCCTGTACCATCGCTGACCGTACTTGGCCTTGACCTTGTCAGCATTGCCGATCCAATTACGGTACCATCGCCAAAGGGTACCGGAGTAATGAACGCCGATAGTATCAATGCTGCAAGGGAAGCGTTAGCCGGGAAAAACAGTCCGATGATTCCTCCATTCGTAACAATGTTCCAATGCCTAGTGCTCACCTCTTAATCTCGAAACCAGCCCTCTCCAAGCACAAAGTGTAGAACCAGAGGGGGGTCGAGGCATCAGCGCCGGGGAAGATGTGCTTGTTAAGGTAGAGACCCCAGACCAAGTCCTCGTACTGCCAAGCCTGTCGGAGACCGGAAAGCTGGACGTACATGGCGCCATCGTCCTCGAGGAGGTCGTAGCACTGGCGGAAGAACCCCGTGAGCTTGCGGATGCCGACGTGCTCGCCCATCTCAAGCTGGGAGATCTTGTTGAACTTGCGGCCGGTCATGTCGCGGTAGTCCATGCAGACGATCTCGCTCTGCTCCTCGGGGATACCGGCCCTGCGGAGGGCGTCGTTGCCCCAGGCGGTCTGATTGCGGGCGATGGTGAGACCGGTGACCTTGGCGCCGTAGTTGAGACTGGCGAACCTGGCAAGAGTGCCCCAACCGCAGCCAATATCGAGGAGGGTCTCGCCCTCCTTGAGCTCGAGCTTCTCGCAGACGACTGCCATCTTGTTGTCCTGCATCTCCTCAAGGGTCTCCTCCTTCTCGGGGTCAGATATGATGCCAGAAGTGTAGATCATGCGAGGGCCGAGGAACCAGGCATAGTGATCGTTTCCGGCATCGTAGGTAGGTTGAATCTGGTTCTCGTCCTGCTCTCGGCTGTGCGAGATGACGTCGGCGGCAAAGGAGAAGAGGATGTACTTGAAGAGGTCCCAGGTGAAGCTAAAGTTGGACCAATCGTGGCGGTACTCTAGGACGTCGAGGCAGTCGCCATTGAAGTCGACCTCGCCATTGATGTACATGTTCGAGAAGGTCTGGATGGGGATCTTGCGCCTTCCACTCCATCGGAGGCGATCGGACTCATTCTTGAAGCTGAGGTACTTCTCGACGGGGCGACCGGGGAGCTTGACCTTGTCGTTGAGGGGAGGGCTGTAGGAGGAGGCGAAGTACCAGTAGACAACTAGAATAGGGAAGAACGTGATGAGGCCGAAGAAGATGGACGTCTTCAGGCCGCCACCAATCTTCCAGGCGAGATATGTCGGGATACCGACGATGAAGGCGAGGAGGAAGCTATTGGAGAAGCTTTCGTTGCCGGGGCCATCGGCGGGGAGAGGAGCATTCTTGATACCCGGATACTATGACAGAGCAAAAAGGGGAAAGGGGAAAACGGTTAGCTTTTGATCAATGGCTTCTTCAATCGGATCGGATGGGTGGGAATAAACGACGGAGGCAGAGGGAGTTTAGGTGTGCAGGAGGCGACGGTCAGAAACGGGTAAGGGGCTTAGGAGGGTGGTAAGCAGCCACCCGGATGCCGATTGACCCGATGATGCTTTGTTCTGAAGCTCGAGCTTACCTTGGTGACCTTGACTCCGCAATCCTGACCGGTCTCGAACTGGGAGGGCTGAGCGGCGGGCGTCTCGATAAACTCGATGTCGGCCTCGAGCTCTTGGCCATTCGGGGCTTTGGACCCCATGATGGAATGCGGATGGAGAGGTGTGGTGGGAGGGCGAGGAATGGTCGTGGTTTGACGACTTGGAGGGAAGCTGAGCTGAGCTGGTTTGAAGATTCCAGGAGGCAGAGAGGAAAGGAAAAAAAGCCAATTTGTTGGCTTGAACCTTCCTTGTGATTGGAGGGGAGGTTGGAGGGTCCAGGCAACCGAATAAAAGGCAATGATGTGCTGCGGGATAAAACGGTGGATAAAGGGAGAATAACAATGGATAATTAAGCATAACTTGTACCTGACACTAGTTATAATGGTTCGGGGTGACAATGGGTGTCAATGGATGACAGGAGGTGAATGATGGGAAATAATGGATTTTGTGCCTGGAAATGTTATGCTCCAGGAACAGATGTGTTACAGTTTCAATTGAATCGCTGCACTGTCCTTCCCCATCATTGCTGACAAAGATCCGGTTCTGAAAGAAGACAAAGTACTTCAAACATGTTCCCCCTGTGTGCCTCCCGACTCGTTCGATTTTCGACCGAGTAATTTCCACACTGAAATGAGGTTGAGGGATCTGTGGACAGTCAGTGGGTGCCCCCTAAACAACCGCAGTCGAGGGTCGGACGACCAACACCGATTTTCAGTGGAAGTGCTCTGAAATCCGCTCCGTTTCCAGCAGACCCCGCCCTCCTGCCACGTCAACCATGGACCTACCGGTGGCTTCAACGTGTTACCGTTCGAATGGTGGAAGTGGCATTGGGATATTACAATATTACACGTACGGATGAAAGGATTTCAAGAATGTCGAAGCATGGTGGGACGGTTTGTTCCGACCCTTGAGCCACACAGCGGTGATGCTTGCGGCGCATCCCACGCCTCGTAAACTAAAGCCGGACTGAATTAGAAGGTGGGTACTGTGCCTTAGCATTAGTGCATGTGATGGTCTGTCCGTTGTTTTACTCCCCTGACCGACGGCCAGCTGGCCATACCATTTCCAGGGGTTTTATTTATCGTGAGCAGAAATATCAGAGCGGAAATGTCAGATGGAAGCCAGAGAGCTGGCCTCGTTGTTTGTTGCGGGAGAACTTTCCGCATCGTCTAGGGTTTTAGACCTTAAACAGATCTAGAATCGAAATTGGGATATATCATATCAGGCAGTCTACAGGAGTGTAAGAGCATGAGGCCGAAGCTTCTCAGTGCAACAAAAATGCCCCTCCCCCGCCACTAAAATCTCGCGTCCTCATCTATGGAATCGTGCACTGAACTCAGCACTCATAATACTGATCAATCCTACTACTCTTTCTAGTCAAGAAGCATAAAAAAAGAAAAAGGGATTTAATGATTATTAATATTATAAATATTGTTTTTCGGGGTTTGCTGATAAACTCCGTCTAACACCGTGAATGCAGGCTGTAAGATCTAGTCATCAGGGAAGGATCAGTATTGGATCGATAATATATATCAAGATATCACCACGCGTGCCTTCTGCTTACGTTCTATCCAGCGTTGCAACCGATTAATTACAGTGACCCAGACGAACAATTAGCAAGCAAAACCAACAATGACAACTCTCGCAAAAACCATTGTGGCCACTGGCGTCTCGTCCGGGCTTGTGAGCGAGACCATTTGTACATTGACCGTGAGAGAAACCATATCAACTGACGGTATCATAGGGGTTTGAAGCCATCAAACACCTTCTTGGGCAAATTCAGCAGCCATACAGAGTCATCCTCGGCGCGCGCAATGCCAACGCTGCTAAGACGGCCTACGAAGAAGTCAAGTTTGATACGGCCAAGCATACGGTTTCAGTTCTGCCTCTGGAGCTTGGCGATTTGAAAGATGTAAAGCGCTTCGCCCGCCAGGCTCTCGAGGCTGTTGGCAGCGGTCCGATTGATTATCTTCTTTTAAACGCCGCTCTTGGCCCTGGCGGCGAGACTTTGAACTTGATCGGTTCCAAGTGGCGGGAGATTTATGTGGTGAATTCTCTTTGTGAGTGGTTATTTGATTCGCTGCTGGCCAAATTATGACAAAACGACGGTTGGACTAAATGTGGCACGCCTAACTCAGCTCAACATTACTTGGTACACCTACTCAAGGAGAAACTTATTTCTTCTCGCTCGCGGCTTATCTTCGTCTCATCCGGAGGGATCCGTGGCGTATCAGATCCGAGTAAGTTCATGAGCACCTCTTTGGAGATTCACGTCAATGCGCACACAGAGAGTATTCTGACTTCACTTTAGGTGTTTTGGAGGACCACCTCAAGGCTGGGACGACAGACAAAAGCCTCCTGATCTATAATGAGACAAAGTTCGTTGGGCTCCTGAATGCGCACTGGTGGCGACGCCAGCTTACGTGGCAGTGCGCCGTTGTTGCCGTCTCGCCGGGCTTCATTCCCAACACGGGTCTCGGCAGAGGCTTGGACTGGAAAATACCAACTGATATACCCGACGCAAAATCTGTTTCCGAAGGCAAGTCAACACTCATAATATACAGTATCTCTTAAAGTCCGGCACTACACCTGGGGAAGTGAGCTCGAAACTGACCGTTTTATTAAGGCGGACAAAACATCACTCGAGCATTCTTCCAGGATAACCTCCCAGAGGATCCGGATCAAATCTTCCTAACAAGCTGGGGAGAGTGGTGGCCCAAGGACGTGTATGAGAATACACTCGACAAAAGCCTGCAGGATAAATGGTCCCCGACCTTGGAGGACATTGAGGCAGAAGAGAGAGTAAACTGACGTTGATGTGCAATAAAGAGTCATTGCTAGAAAACAAAAGTCCACTTTTCCACTTCTTTACCCCGAGCTGTAAGATAAATTCCTTTTTAGGGAGCTTACCTTCCCATGTCCGTGTCGATCATCTTCCTTTCCACTTCGTTTAAACCGCCGACTCATTCACCGAGCCTTCCCATGAGAAAGGCGAATCATCCTGCGGAGGGCGGTCACTGAATACCAGTGATGGACATGGCTCTGCGCCCTCAGCCATCTTTTGGAGTCTAGCGGTTTAATAATCGACCGGTGCTGACGATGTGATTGACGCCCGATGATTCGGATCACTTTCCAGTAGGTCGCCACGGCGCAGGCTCGTTCCACTGCGGGCCAGCTGATATCCATCTCGAGCAACGATCAGCGCCTCTTCTGCCTTAGAATAGGCGCCACGACGCCTTGGTTCCTGGGAAAAGAAAGCATCTCAATTCCTCCAAACATAAAAGAAGCCGAAGTTCCCAGTCTCGATTGTGAATGAACTTCCAAACTTCAAACTCCAAACTTCACCGACATATTCAGCAAGATCCTTCATCGCCAAATATAACGCAAAGTCCGGAATCTCCTGCCCAAAATGAAAGCCACTCTAGTCCTCGTTTCTCTCCTCCCTCTTCTCGGCTCCGCTCAACTCAAGACAATAGACACCAGCCGTATCCCTAACGAGCTCTTCGAACCCTCTCCGAGTGACGAGGGAAGCGCGGTTGCCCGCGCTGGCGACAGCAATGCTGCTGCGGTTTCCTGTCCATCTGGATACCCCTTCCTCTGCGCCGGCTTCTGCTGCCGGTACAACATCTGCTGCCGGAGATCTTGTTGCAACTGGGACGCTGATTTCTGCGGCGCCGACGGCTTGTGCTATAAGTGGGTTTGAGCCTAGAATTTAGGCTCCTCCTGGATAGGTTGGTTCGATACCCAGGTTCCCATATGAGGATGTACAGTTGTCCTACGCCGAGTTTATCCACACATGCTAACCCTACGCTCCCAATCGTGAAGGCCGGAGACGACCCATACACTTCAGTTAGGTTTACTTGATGGGATGGAAAAGGGATGTCTTTTTTTTCCGAGTTGTAACGCCTTTGATGAGTTGGTTTTAGGGATTTATGGGAGGGTGTGTTGCATTTAGTGACTAATTAAACTCATCATGCCTCCGCTCTGTTTATAAGTAACACACATATCTACCCTTGCTCTCTCTCTTGCCATTCAACTACGTAGCTCAGCATCTGATATCCTGGACTACGATATATGTTTACGTCGTACTATGGACATGCCGTAGCTTCTCAAAACACGAGGATAGTAAGGGGCTAAACATTGATGAGAGTCTCGCATTAGATATTCTACGTTCTGACCTCCTTATTCCGAACTGTAAAATAAAGTTCTTTTTAGGGAGTTTACTTTCCAACATCCTTGTCGGTCATCTCACTCTATAGTTCGTTAAACCGCCAACTCATTCACCGAGCCCTCCTATAAGAAAGACGAAGGTGTTCATTGAACGCGAATGATAGACATAACTCTGCATCCTCAGCCACTTTTGGAGTATAGCGGTTTAATAATCCACCCGCGCTGACGATGTGATGGACGCCCGACGATTCGAATCGCTATCCAGTAAGGACAATAACTTTCTTATATAGATAGGTTATAACTTATATCACACGCCGACCTTATATCGACCAAGGGCGGTGACACGCAACAGAAAGCAGGCCGGTGCAAACAACTGTCTGGCAGGAATGCAAAAAACGTGAGATCTGTGTCGATCACTCTTGTGATGACTCCGATCGGCCGGTGATTAGCAGCGATCATCTAAAGAAGAGCTCCGATCACCTAGGGAGAGATGGAAGAAGAAACATCTAGGTAAACTACAGGTTCTGCCATGTATCTAGTTTGTTCTCCCGGACTCTTCAGGAGTCAATTCAAATACAACTACACCCCTACACTTGAACACACCATCTCACCAAGGTCTTGTGAATACTGTTTGCCTGCCTCGCTTACTTCATAACAGGCACCCGCAACCCCAACACCAACTGTATCCACTTGACACCCCGGGGACGAGTGCTAGGATGGTAACATGTGAGAAATAGCCGATATCGGGTCACCGTCGTCAAGCAATGACACTGGACATTACAGCCTCAGCGTACCGACCTGTCCACCGGCAGTGCAGACATCCACTGTCCGTCCCCGGTTGAGGACGCTGATCTCGTTTGGGGGGATGAACTGGGTGCATCGCCCGAACCTGTCACATTCACCTTCTTCTCCCCCAACAACGCACGTCGTTCCTACGTTCCCGAACAGCGCACTCCCCCTACCGCTGGCGAAGTCCCCGAATCCAGAGTCGACGTCCTCCTGGCCAGCCGGCGCTGTGGAAAGTGTTATCAGCAAGAGCGACAGTCATTGACGAGGAAGAGGGCTGGCTTACTCCTCGTGCATTCAGCCACCGGGCGGCCCTGGTTCAGGATACTGTTCTCGTTCGGGGGGATGAATTGGAAGCAGCGGCCGAAACGGTCGCATTCGCCCTCCTGGCGGCCGGCGGTTCAGGGCTCACCCTCGTTGGCAAAGATATCGGTCAGCTGGCGACGGATGGGGACTGGTCGGTGTTAGTAGCGGTTGATGATAGTGTTAGAACTTGAACATTCGTGGGGGGTCTACGGGTTCCCCCCAACGAATGTCCAAGTTGGGTTCTTACTCGTGCTGGCCTGGCCGAGACCTAGGATGCCCATGGTGGCGATGATGGAAAACCGCATTTTGGGAGATTGGTAGTGTTGCTGGTAGAAGGGGTGGAAAAAAAGCGCCAGGCAAGAAAAAGAAAAGAAGCCAATTGATTGAGAAGATCGATCCTGCGATGTCGACCTCAGTTTGATAGTCGGCGCAGAAAACTGGGCGGGCTTTATAGTCATCTATCTCAACACAGATAATAATTGATAGCCGTTTAGGGGCACCGAGGTCTCTAGGCGACTACGACCTCGAAGGAGTGTTTTGAAGCTTGACGTTGTTCCATACCCTAGCCCCAGTTCCAGCCTCGGGCAATAGATGTAGCGGAACTACAGGGGTTAATTAGTGGGATACGGGGGCTATATAGAGGGCTCATTATAGGGGCTACCACAGTGTTGTCCCACATTTCCCAATGCAAGAGAGAGTGATGTTGCGTGTAAGTGGCTGCACACGCGCGGGGCGTAGGAAGGATTCCTATTAGCTAGTGCAGTCCCAAAATCTTCTGACCCAATGCGTTCCGCTTCTCTAGTGCATGCTCCCCACTCTGGGACATGTATCGAAACCATAAGATACAGAATTCACGAGCCTCCATAAAAGATAAGGTTCCTATTCACATCAAACCCCCGACAACACGCCGTTACGTCTAAGTATTAGAGGCGGAGCATGGCAGTCCATGGGCTTTCAGTGTCGTGTCACGCGGATTCATGTTTTGGGCGCTCGGGGCAGTCGGGTTGCCGAAGGGTATTCAACCTGCTGCTTCGCGATAACATCAAGCTATTTGGGGAGTGCATATTCTTTCACACTTTAGCGGGTGAGCGACTCGCGCTATAATGCTGGTTTTTCTTCCTGGTTTCGCCAATCGCACAACAATCGCATACCGTTTAATATTCAGACGCGTACAACTCACACTCCCGGTGGTCTCGTTTTTGCGACAAGTCTCTAGGCGCATAGCAATCTTGTTGCTAAACTTCTCGCAGTCAAACACGGCGAGAGGTTAGACATTGTCACACCCAATCGCTCGAGGAATGCCTCGTGATAATGGAATGACCAAGGTGGACGTGGCTTCAGGATTCCGCCATGCTTGAACCGCCATTTTCAACCAGGATGGGCTTGTGGTGGTTGATATGCGATGAATAGAAGAAGAGAAAACTAGGGACTGTACAAGGAAAAGGAGCCGCGTATAGTCATCATACGCCTATGTTCGGGGATTCCCATAGTCGGCCTTATGTCGACAGGTTTTGAGATTCTTCGGTGACAGGCTTACTACGTCGCCTTGTGGGGTCTAGGTCAGCATTGTCAGTGAGCTTGGGGAGACGCGACGCCAGCTCTTCTCTGACGGTAAGAATGATCCTGTAATAGATTAGCCCACCATAGTCATCCCCTTACTTGGGACGGTATTAGGTTCTAGCACAAATGATGGAATAGAAGCCCCAAGATGCTAGGCGAAGAATTAGTAAAACGGCACATACAGCCAGGGACTCATCCAACGAGATCGGATTGTAAAGATTTACGTGCTTTCGGCTGCCTATCGTTGTCTGCATGAGTAATATTCTGCCTGTTGGCGGCTAGAAAGAAGCCAACGTGCTCGTCCCTCATTTTAAGTTAAACCCCCCCCCTTGCTGACCCCCCCTACTTTCTAACCCCCTAAATTCCACACTACTATTTCATCCTAACTAACTTTAAACCTATATTCCTCTACTATTTTAAATCTAAATATCTTCATATTTTATATCTAGCTTTTCTAATTAAAAATAAAGCAATATATAGAAGAAGACCTCTAGGATATACTTAATATTATTATAAATAAGATATTAAAGTCTAGAACTATTAAAAAATAAAATATTCTAAAACTAACTATTATAAATAAAATAAATAATATAAATTTAAGAAAAAAGGCTTTTTCTAATATATAGAGATTTAGCCCTTCCTAAAAAACCTATTTAATAATATAAGTATTAACTTAAAAAGCTCTAATATTATAGCTACATATAGCTAAAATAGAAGGCCGGGCAATTAAGACTAGTAGAAAAGGGTAAACTATAGAAGAATACTAGGATTATAGGAAATAATAGATTACCTATACTTATAGTAATCTACAAGTAATCTAGATTATATAGGATTATAGTAAGCTAAAGTAATCTAAAGAGAGTTTAGAAGGGAAATATCTATATAAACTATAAGTTTTACTATATATCTAGTTTATCTTTTAAGACTTTCTAATAGTATTTTTATATTTAAATATATACTTCTTACCTATATCTTGTAAATACTACTTAACTATCTTATTTTACTACTAATAGATAACTACTTTAATCCTATTACTAATTATATCTACTTAATACTATTAATAGGCTAGTATTAGGATTATAATATATTAACTACTCCTATTTAATAAGTAACCTTATTAAGTAATATTAATATCTAGGAATTATAATACCTATAAAGAAAAAGACTTTTTCTAAGTTAGATAATAAAGTTAAGATATAGGAAATAACTAGACTTACTATAAAAGTTAATAAGGAATCTAATAATAAAGATTATAACTATATTATTATTATTAAGAAAGTATATATTAAAGTTAAAGAATAGATTACTAAGATAAAAATAACTAAAGACTTTACTATTTAGTAATAGGATATTAATATCTAGATTAAATAGTAAATTATCTAGCTAAACTAGATAATTTAATAGCTAAATATTAATATTATAATTAGAAGAGGTAGTATTTTTCCTATATTTACTATATTTATAGCTTTTAAGTTTAAGATTATTATATTTAAAAAATATAAAGGAAACTAATAAGAACTATAAAAGTTCTTAATTTAAATAAAAACCTTTTTATAATATTATAATAAATAATTTTATATTAAAGCTAATAAAGTTACTATTATAATTTAATATCTTATAAATAATATATTTACTTAATTTAAATTAACTTTCTAAAATTATTTAGAAAATAATAAGATTAATTAATAAGCTAAAATTATTAAGATCTTTAAAGACTATAAAATATTTAAGAAAGCTTTTAAAAAAGCTTTTAAGAAATTAGATAAATAATAAACTATAATTTAATAACTTAAAAAATTAAACTAGAAGAGATCTACTATTAAATATATAATTAAGTTTAAGTAGATTACTACTTACTTTAATTAGAAAGATAAGTTTCTAATAACTTACTTTTATAATAAGCTTAAAGAAGATATTAAAGATAAATTCTATAAAAAAGAAAAGTTTACTTAACTAAATAAGTATATAGAAAAAACTATTAAGATTAATAATTAATTATATAAATAATAATAGTAAAAATATAATTATATTACTATAATAAAAACCTATAAATTCTAGATTCTTATTAATAGTAAGTAAAAGAAAAGTAATAGTAATATATTATAAGGAACTTATTTAAAACTTATAAAATTAAAAGCTAATAATAAAAATATTATTTTTAAATCTTTTAAAAATAAAATTAGTAAATATTATAAATATAGATAATTTAGGTATTATATAAGA